ATATTTCCCTCTCGCTCTCTCTCACTATCTTTTTCTCTTTCTTTCTTCTTCTTCTTCTTCTTCTTTTCCCTCCTCTTCCTCCTTCTTCTGTTTATTTTCCCCTGTCAATGTGGATATTGCCCCTCTTGGAGCTTGCCCATGTCACTGGCCGTGAGAGAAGCAAGTGCATAATACTACTTCCTATGACCGACCATTCATTGCCTTGTTGGGATTCTTCGGATGTCTGCAAGTGCAAGCAATCACTTTGGTTTCGATGTTGAAAACATATTCCATGGCGTCGATCGAGCCATTCATGGGAACTAGAATAGGAATAGAAAGGGGGGGGGGAGAGAGAGAGAGAGATGGGGGGGGGGGGGCACACACTATAGTTTTGTTTATAAAGGCAGCTCAAAGTAATAACCTGGAGCATATATTGGAGATTTGTATTTATAGATCACACACGAAGGAATCCGTTCAAATTGTTAAAGAAACTTGCAAAGAAGGTCGAACAAACGCATTTAGGAAACCAAGAAATGTATTATTGATATTATGCACTTTTATAATAAGTTTCCACCAGAATATATGTATTAAAACTTGATGCTCCTGTCAAACATTAACAAAATTGAAATAAAAGTTGTTGCAGGGACCTCCCTGGTCTATTTAAAAATGCTTGAGAATTTACACTGGAAAACAGTCCAGAAACGATGTTCGCTGCTTTTTGTTGATGAAATGATGAAAATGGGCTCGAGTAGTATTTTCAAAATAGTCAACTGTGCCTTTGAGAGAGAGTGACCCCTGCCTCTTGTAAAAACTATTTTAAAGGTATTACAAAGTTTTGGTATGGGGTCATGAATTTGGTTCAAATTAACAATTTCGGAAGCATAGTGTTCCTACAATATTCATTGATCGTTGTCGCGGTTGAAATCGAGTCTAAAGTTATGAAATTATAAATAATAAACTCTTAATGTTGTATAGCTCCCTCTCAAGGTCAAGATATTAATTTAGCTATTAAACAATGTTTCTTGACTAAAATCGACCGATTAGCTATTCCCGTTTGGAAATTATATATCACAACTACATACTCTGAAATTTTCATGGTGGCAGCTACCATTGTACGGCCATAGGCGCTATTTCAAATTTATCAAAATTTACCGGGAGCACCGGTAAATGTTTATATTCAATTTTTCTCGAAAACAGAAGAGTTTTAGAGGCTAATTTTTTTAGTGCTTATAATACATCCACAGGGGCATCCAAATATAACAAAATTGTAAAGAATCACTATCCACCCAATTTTCAAAATTTCCCAAAACTTTGTATTACCTTTAAGAGCCTCGTCAAAATTTATGATCCCATCTAAAGTGAAGAATGTTCTATGGGGTCAGGAGGACGCAGTGAAGAATGACCGTTCTAGTTTTCAGTATTATTCTCAAAGGAAATTAATCGTCGTTGAAGGTCGTGACAAACTTTGTCAGAAATCAGAATGATTGAAATATAAACTACAGAATTATTATAGACTTCAAGAAAGACACATAGTGATAGAAAAATGGTATATGATGACAAATTAACAGGAATACGGAGGAAATCTTTTCTTAAACAATGAACAAGGGAACAATGTTTATCCTTAAAATGAGAAGGATAGTGTTACTAGAAAGAAAAATAAGGGGGGGGGGGGCGTGTATGTGGTCCCGAAAGTTACAGCGTTTCATAGTTTTATATCATTAATGTTATTATTTTCATCAGGGAAATTCCCGTTGCGACATGACATGTCTTTGAACATTTCGGCCTACATATTCTTCAGCTTCTTCACCTTAAGTCCGGTTGAACTTTGATTGCTCCTCCAATTATCATGTTCAATATTAGCTAATAATAATATCGGACGGAACGCGATGCATAACGATCTCATTTTCGGTCAAAAGCAAATTTGGACTGCAAATATTGATCGGAAAGTTGGGTCAAACCACCCAGTCTGCCCTTTATAAAGACGGTGTCCAAACAAAATACCAGCTTAGTCCAAGGATCTTGAGATTTGCTGGTAAAAACCTCCAAACATAATGTGACCCGACAAGGTCATGACCCGACGCTAACCTTTCACAACAAACTTCCCTCTCACCGTCGATTAGATCCAGGTCCTCTCATAACATCCAGGGGCTATTTGGTCTAGCTGTCCAGGCCAATTAGTCCTGGCCTGAGAGCGTCGGTACAAGTGACCTCTGACCTTGAACGCTACCCCTTGTTTAATGATCCGTCGGACCCCCAATTCGTGAAGAATCAGTAAAATCCGCAGTGTAGGGCCTGCATGTATTTAAAAAAAAAAAAAAAAAAAAAAATCTGAAATGGGATGGGGGGGGGGGGGGGGGCGGGGGTATTACTTACATTTTTTTTAATGGGCTTAGAACTGTGTTGTAAATAATTTTTTTTTTAAAGAGCTGTCGAAAATTTAAAGACCCCTGCCTTTCGTACACCGCCCAAATCGTCGATTTTTGACATGCATCAGATAGTGTATTATAATGTTTGGAATAAAGTAAGCCTATATTGTGCGCCATTTTGTATAATTTACAGCTAGTCATGACAATGAATTAGTGCCCAAGTAATTCGATTATCAATTTAAAAGTCCTTCTTGGTCTACGTATGCAGCTCTCACATTTCTTTCAAAATATGTTAAACAAAAGCTTAAATAAAACCTCAATAGTAATTTGACAGATACGGGCCAATATGTAAATAATAACTTTTTTTCTTTATCAACATCATTACGCCATCATGATCATCATTTTCATCAGTAGAATCCGACTATCTTCTTTCTCCTCTTCCTTATCATCACCATCACAATTGTCATCCTCATCCTCACCACCATCATCATCGTCATCCTCATCCTCACCACCATCATCATCGTCATCCTCATCCTCACCACCATCATCATCGTCATCCTCATCATCATCATCCTCACCACCATCATCATCCTCATCATCACCACCATCATCCTCATCATCATCATCACCACCATCATCATCATCCTCATCATCACCACCATCATCATCCTCATCCTCATCCTCACCACCATCATCATCATCCTCATCATCACCACCATCATCATCCTCATCCTCACCATCACCACCATCATCATCATCCTCATCATCACCACCATCGTCATCCTCATCATCACCATCATCATCATCCTCATCCTCACCATCACCACCATCATCATCGTCATCCTCATCATCACCACCATCATCGTCATCCTCACCATCACCACCATCATCATCGTCATCCTCATCATCACCACCATCATCATCCTCATCCTCACCACCATCATCATCATCATCCTCATCATCACCACCATCATCATCCTCATCATCACCACCATCGTCATCCTCACCATCACCACCATCATCATCGTCATCCTCATCATCATCACCACCATCATCATCCTCATCATCACCACCATCATCGTCATCACCACCACCATCATCCTCATCCTCACCACTATCATCCTCATCATCACCACCATCATCATCATCATCATCATCATTTTTATCATAATTTTCCTCCTCCCCATTATTACTTTAAACTGTATGTACTTTTATAAGCTAAAGAAGTGATCTTTCTGTTAGAGTTTGTCTATTAATACATAAAAATGTATGCTTTATTTCATTTTCAGGGATAATTTTACAAATAAATTCACAAACATAATAATTTCAACAAACATTTTCTCACTTGCTGTATATAAATATGAATACACTCTAGTAATATGATCTATGTCTTCAGGAATGCCCCAAATAAGGTTATATTTGCTTTTCCTGTAATAAACATATGGCACAAATACGAAACTATAATGAAGGATGTATTTCAAAAGCAAATAACATCTCTTAATACTTTATTGTCTAAGTGCAACAGCAAATATCCTATATTACAAAACTTCATTTTTTAAAGGATTATTTGCAACCAAGCTCAACATGATTATCAAAAATGAAGGTTATCAAATCGTTATTGTCATTATCAATTTCTCATTTTTACCATTATCAACCATCATCAGAATTATATGCGACCATGGTCAAAAGACCCGACAATAAAAAATATGAAAGGTTATAAATTTGTAAAATTTATAAATGTAAATTTGAAAAGATAGAATAAATTACCTACAAAGAGGCACTTTCCCAAATAAATAAATCCAGCTTTAAAAGCTTATCTTCAGTTGTTTATTTTCTTCATATATAAATATAGCCTCAATGATAATAAAAGGGAATGAAAATAAATTGAACAGCTTGATATATGCAAAGCGTAAAAACCAGATTTTAGACATGACATAGAGATACTACAGTGTATGTACAGATTGTGGGAAATGCAGGAACAAGATGCATTACACAGAAGATAGGATTCTGGGAGACAAATAATAAGTTAGCTTTCTCTTTCTATATCTGTTTGGCCGAATACGTTAATAAACTGAGTGTCCCCTAACAAAATATTGCTGTTGATGTATGCTTATATTCAAAATACGACAAGAAATACCTGAAAAATTTGTAACAAACTATCATGTCACAGGTCCGTGTAGTCCCATATACCTACCTCTGAGTTCAGTGCATGTGATTTTCAGCAAAGTTGAGTCGATTTCTTTTTATTTGATCATTCAAAAACCTCTTAGTATACATCAATTCTTATGTACCTGTACTACATAATCGACCTTTCAAAGAACTTATTCCACAATATAACCACATGACAATTGCACAACTTTATCTTTAAAGACATATATGGTTGGGTTCTCATAGGGAATTCATTTCACTTGGGTATTCACACAATAACAGATATTATAAAGATCAATTATTTAGACTTTACATATATTCCACTTTAAGAACATGAAATCTCCTCGATAATAGAAAATATGAATGATTTGAATCAACATTTTATGCCTTTTGAAATAACTTTTACATAATATTTTCAAAGATGCTAACGGCTTTCCATGATTATTAAGTCCAACTTAGAGATACATGGGCGTAAATCTGTAATTGATACCTATTGTTCAGGGGGGATGATCTATTCATTCATCCCCCCCCTGAACAATACGTATTACGTAAGGATTTACGCCCATGTAGAGATAAGTTCAACTTAGGTGTAACACATTGCGCATTGAAATTTCTACGGTTTTTAACATTTCAAGACTGTCCGCCGAGGTTAGAGAGCCAGCCTGATTTGAGACTGGAGCTGAGACGGGACGAGAGGGACGCGGGAGAGGAGCGAGACTTGTGAAGGATGGCTTCCATCGGGGATGACCTGTCCAAGGATGACTTCTAGAGAGTGAGAAAGAGGGAAAGAGAGAGAGAGAGAGAATAAGAGAGAGAGAGAGGAAGAGAATTGGAGAGAGAGAGAGAGAGAGAGAGAGAGAGACAAAGAGAAAGGGAGAGAGGGGGAGAGGGAGAAAGAGAGAGAGAAACAAATCTACATCAATGCCATGTATCTGAAAACAAGGTTAGATCATTTGATATAGTTATGTGCTTTTATCTACAAAACAGTTAAGTAAAATATGTGACCAGACACCCCAAAACTACCCAAAATTCACAAGTGAATTTCAGTTAAAGCTCAATGAAGGTGTATTCAGTAAGGAAGGTAAAATTTGTATTTTTAGCATTTCCCCTTTCCTCTAAATTTGGAAGCATAAACCTATCTAAAAGTGGTTTTATGGCAGGGTTTGTAGATCTATGACCCCGTTCTCATTCACTTCGTTGGAGCGGTCTAACTAAGACCCGTTCCTCAGGAGCAGTTCTTAGGTGAGTGAGAACGGTCAAAGTGGTCCAGGAAGTGGACTTCTGGACCGCTCCAGAAGACCACCTTGGGAGGTGGTCTTATTAAGAGCGGTTTGGACCGCTCTAACGTGCAATGTGAACGGAAGCGTACTTTGACCGGAAGTGAGCTAGTGACGTTCCGTGCGAAACATGTAGTACGGTACATACGGTTTGTATTCCGCGCGCAAAAAAATTGACCTGCTGAGCTGCCATAGCAACAAGACCACTTTGACTCGTGGAGCGGTTTGAGCCATAAAAAACTGCTCGGAGTGTGAACGCTCGCAAACCGTTCCTCAAAACCCGTTCCTCTGAAGCGGTCTAACTAAGACCACTTTCAAAGTGAGTGAGAACGGGGTCTATGTTTTTTGTCTTCTGATGTTGGATTTGTTGTTTATTCCTATATATTTGTATTCTATGTTCATTTAACTTTCCATTGATATAAGGCTGTGTGTTCATCGGATAGGCTCTTTGAACATGGGGGTGTTTCACAAAGATCTTAAATTGAACTTATCTCTAAGTGGGACTTAACAACTATAAAAAGCCAATAGCATGATCTATGAAAAATATTTTGTACAAGTTATTTTAAAAGGCATAAAATGTTGATTCAAACCATTCAAATTTTCTATCATCAAGAAAATTTCAAGTTCTTGATGTGGAATTAATAAAAAGTCTAAAATACTTGAATTTTCGCATTTGAATATATCTTTTTAAAGGCTAGAAATGGCTCTCCATAAGTCCAACTTAAGAGTTAAGTTCGACTTAGGATCTTTGTGAAACACCCCCCTGGAGACATTACGTACCTGCAGTTGCTTCTGTCTGTGTATGGCAGGTTGGAGCGTGAGCTTGCTCCCCAGTGTGGTCGTCGTGCTCAGAGGGAGAAGGCTGAATCGAACCTGCTTGGCGGTCAGAGGCAAGACGTTATGCTGCTCCTGGTAGCCAGCGCTGGATGACCGATGGCCGGAGAACATGTGACGGTCGGGACTGGTCAAGAAACCCAGCAGAAGCTGTAGGAGTGGGCATCAACAAAAAAAGATCAACATTAGGTATCTACTTTTTGTGGTCGAATTTAAGTAAAACTCTCACCAGTCTACTTCTCTGATTTGTCTGCCTTCCTCTAGAGTAGTTTGCTATCAAGGTTGAGTTTACCTTTAATGCGGGACTGCACTACTTGCAGCTACTTGCTCTCTTATATATTCAACAATGCCTAAGCGGTGCCCGTTGATCGTGTGATCCCCCATGGTTCCCTTTTTCTTATGTTTATTGAGAGCTGATTTGATGAGATAACCACCTGCCAGTGACCCTGCAGGGTCAGTCTAATCCCCCTGGCCAAACTAGTACACACAGGCTTTAATGGTCACTTGAAACACCATGAATTAACCTCTAAAAAAACCTAGAAAATGCCAAGCTTAAGACAACTCTGGCTGAAGTCCATCAAATATACATGGTACACAAAAAATGTAATATACACAGATTAAAAACAAAACACATTAATAATATAATTGGTGGATTTTACAGAAAGAATCAAGTAAAGACTTACTGAGCATCTATGGACATGTCTGTTGAGGTTGGAGGTCATATGAGGTGTAAATACATCCAGGTCAAAGGGGTCAATGAACCCTTCTAGTATGTCGACCAGTCTTTGTAGCTGGTCGTTAAACCGAGAGTTGTCCTGGAAAACGAGAGAAAAAGAGTGTTTATTAATACTACACACACTATTTAAAACATTTATGTGTTCCCCCTGAAAAGTGGGGCTAATAGCTCAATGACACAATGGTTTTGTCAATCACAAGGATTAACATTCAGTTGTATGACCAACAGGCCTCATGTGATGCTCTGCATTTTCCCCAAATCGCCCCTTTGGAAAGTCATTACCTTACATTTCCCTCAACCGAAGACTCTCTGAGAGACTGGTTGGTTATTTTTACACGGGTTTGCTGTGTGCGAGACTTGTAAACCCATCAATGGTACCTCCACCAAGTCTGGTGTCAGCGAATTATGACTTACTGCACATAGAAACTGACGACCATCTCCCTTCAATGTGTTTACACCTGTACTATAAATTTGAACATTATAGGACTACCTGTAGGTATATATTTCTCCCAGAAACAGAAACAGGTAGAGGAATTCTTAATTTTGTCAAGTTTAGTCAATTTCATGTGATGCGTTTTAGGAAGAGAGTCAACAAAAAATATCAGCTGTGGCACTGTTATAAACCCTAGGAACTAAGAGGATTTAATCAGAATTTGTGGTGGGTAAGGTCTAAATATCTTATCCAGGGTCAGATCTTATTGGTCATATCAGTCACTTTTTAGTAAAAAATGACCATTTGTATTGATTTTTGTCCAAAATCGGGTCCAATTTTCAGTCAGAGTCAATTGATGGGTTGGATCACATCCATTCACATCCAAATTCAATATTTAAATATGTGCTGATTCCTGAAAAATCAATCTCATTTGATTAATTCGGTCATTTCGCTCTGTGGCTAGTTTTTTGTTGCACTCAATAGTTGAAAGATGTCGATCTACAAGGTGGAGGCGCTGTTAATTGTGAATCCACACTATTCAGGAGTGTAATAGGTGAGAGTTTCTAGAGGATGATATAAAAGTTGATGTAGTTACCTTTTTATCATCCCCTCTGCCAGACATCACGCTACCGATGAACCTCACATCAAACAGAAGCTGAAGAGACCGAGGTTGGGTCAGCTTAGAATGACCTTCGCCTTTGACCTTTGACCTTTCATCAATAGCAGACTGGTATGCCCTGAGAAGCCCGGTGCTGGTAGTATTCACAAGCTGGGATACGACACTCCTGGGTTAAAACACAAAAGAGGACCATTTCAAATCTCACTGGGTCCATTTTTTTTTACAGACTATTCTTTCACAAAATAAGCAGACCAAGCATTTGATCTTTATACTGCAATGAATAAAGGTGGGAGTCTCCTGCATTTTTCAATTTTGAAATGATTTGTCATCTATGTTTTTTTTCTTCAAAGGTATAATTATTTAATTATATATGTCATTCAACTTTTGTAAATAGAGTATATGTATCTAGTTTGTATATTACCTTCTATTATGTGGAAATATGCAAAAATAAAAGACAAATAAGCAAAAAGATGTCAATAAATCCTGCCTTACCTTGAGAGAGCATGGCCTCCTATTCTGTTGATTTCCTCACACAAGCCATACAGCAATGATTGCACATACCAGGAAGACTGGAGAAGGAAAACAGGAAAATATAAACGGGTAAAAGTAAAAGCTCTTAAAAGGCTTGTTCAGATATGGCTCGGTAAACCAAGGCAAAAAAAAGATGCTACATTTTTGTTTTGGGTTTTCTGTTGTACGCAGAAAACCTCAATTTTGTATTCTTTTATCAATATTCAACTTCGAACACATTTGTTTTGAAAATCCTTGTAGAAATGTGTCTTAAATGACATCCTCTTTCACATTATGATACAATTTAGGTGAAATTTTGCCATCAAATTTTTGGGGCCCCCAACACTTTAGAGGGGCTTTAAAATGTTGTATAAAGGCACTGTAAGGGTCTACTACAATTTGTATACGTTATTAATGTTTGCTTACCAGTGATACATGAATATCAAGGCTCACATGAATAATTATAATAATCTAAAAACCAATAACAGCAATGAAACATGTTAAAAATATAGCAATTAGTAAAAGCTAAAAACAACACAAAAGAAATCTGAGGCAGAGTCGTAGCTTACTTGAACCGGAAGACGAATCTTGGATGAAACTTTCTTCCCTTCTTCTGTCTCTTCCTCAATATCAATAGAGTCCCATGCCTAGAGATGGAAGGGAAGAAGAATAGAATATTTTCTCTGAACTTAGGTGAGATATTCTAAGCTCAAATGCCTGCAACTCAGCGAGATATTAATGAAATATAATACTGTAGATCATAGATATAATTTAATCTATAATCTTTCTGGCAGCTTTGGTTGCCAGCTGCTTGCGGGGAGCCTTCCCTCCTGTAGATTTGCGAGTGTAAGAATTCCAAAACTTCAAAATCATGCCAAATTTTGTAATAAATTTCAGAATCATATTTTAGAGATAACATATTTTACAATCATAATTCACATCAAACAAATATTTATGGTCATATTCAAAATTTACTTTTAAATTTTTCAACTTAGGATTTAACCAGTTTTCATATATTTTAACCAATAACTATCTTTTTTTATTAGTAGATGTTCCAGTTATTACCCACTAAATTTAACGTACTATTGATAAAATAAAATAAGATGAGTTCATAATTTGCCAACTTCTTCTTCTTCTTCTTGTTCAATCTTGATGTAAATAGTCCCAATCCAGTGTCGGATGCATTGCATTACACAGGGGGTCAGTGCATTCAACATTCGCCGACAATATTATATTTTTCACATGAAAGAGACCAATAGTGCCATCAATAATACAGTATAAGGCTAGTGAAAATTGTAATGACAAACAACTGCATTTGATATGGTTACCTTTTTCCTTCTGAATGAAAGTTCTATTAAGTTTCTTGTGGCTTTGTTTATTTGTTTTTCTCTATATTTTATAGTTAATTTTTGTGTCATTGGGTGACTTGGAAAACCTTACTAAGGCTCCTAACATGAATTCATCAATATGACTTACTGTGGCATTTTTTAGCATGGCTGAAGGCGATGTATCACTCAGATTGAGGTTGAATTCTGCCAGCAGCTCGGAACTTGTAAACTCGCTCCAAATTCTGTCAAAGTAACCAAAACATGATGGGAAATAGACTTAAAATTCATTTGCTTCAAAAATAAGAAATAACAACAACATTAGAGTAGAATCAAAAGACAGATCTTTCATTCAAAGGGAGTGTTTTAACCTTTGAAAACTCTGTTTAAACTGGGCACAAGACCAGTATAAAACAGTTTGACAAAAATATATTAGAGAATTGGTCGAGGTCGAATTCGAGCTAAAGCATGATCAGTCTTGATTACCCATGACCATTCAGCTAGATGTCTACGTTTGCCAATATATATCCCGTAGGGAAAAAAATCTGAACTTGGAAGTAAGCAGCATGCCAATTTGATTTAACAATTTATAGTTGAGCAGGATTCTTGCCGGATCATAATAAAATTGTTGATCATATCAAACATGAATAATGAATAATAATAATATTGACTATTTAGGTGCACTAAACTAAACAAAAAGTGCCATAGCGCTTACAAAATCACAGAATGTGAGGAGAAACATAAAACTCGTAAAATAAATAGTTCTGAAAACAATGTTTTGGCCGACCTTGCAGCCCTCCTTCCATGGCCCACCAATTGAGAAGCCGCTGCTTTAGATAACATTGCACAATATTGGTATAAAAGCAACTACCGTCACATACTTTACCTCTTTTTTACAACCTACATTTTTTAAAAGTAAACGATATTTATGTTTATCAATGTGCAATTTTTATGTATCTATGCTTTAAAAAACTTTTACCAAATACTATTTTACAATATTTTCAACTTAAAGTTGATACTCTAAGCAAATAAATGTCCTTTAATTTGTTACCTACGGCAAGTATATGTTATTTTTAAGTTTTTCAATTACTTAGTATATCACAAAAAAATTCTGTCTACTCGAAATCCTCAATTGAAATGTCTAAAATATCCGCCTCTCTTTGCATAGAAAATCAGTCACGGCGCTGGTCTACTATTTATGACCTCACGTCCGGGAGAGAGTATATTCACGTACCCGGATGTTCCATAGCAAACATGTGCAGAGTGATACGATTTTCTGCATATTTTTGTTTCAAAGGCTGAAAAGTCTAATAAATCATAATTCTATGTACAATTCTTTACCTTCCCCTAGTACTTCATAGTATTAATATCAATTCCCCTTTTAAAAATTATGACATATACATGCCAACGATGTGCTATTAGTGGATATTTTCACCATGTAATTTTTGTTTTGGTGTTGAAATCGGCCCAGGCACGTAGTGAACAGTAGCTGTCTACCCATGCACAGTTCATTACCATACACTACAGCGATCTCCCGATGGTTTCTTCTTCCTTTTTCCCATGTCTTTCGCCTTCCTTGGCGCTGAACATCCTTCATCTACCAATTCTGACACCGGTAGTCAGGAGCAAGTCTTTGTTAGTTGTTTTTCTTAGCTGGCAACGTCGCTTTCATTCTCTTGCAATTGCCGATAAACATATAACTAGCGCACGTACGTTCCATCACAAGCAAGCAGCGCCTAGAGCAGCGGCTTGGTCTTACCTCCCGATTCTGCTCGCTTCACGAACGTTTATGCAAGAGCCGCATCACTCGCCAAAATATTATAGAGGAAGCGCGCTTGCATGATCTCGTTCAAGTTTGATATTTTACAACATAAAATGTTTAACTGGTACTGTATCCTTTTTTGAGGCAGTCACACACATCTATGATAAGTACTATCATAGTTCTAGACCTGTTCGTTTTACAAAACTGCTCATGTACATCTGATGACAATATAATGCATCCGCCTATTCATAAGTGCACGATTTAACTTTAATTCCTAAGCAGTAAACTCGTCTTAAATCTCTACCAAATAGGTGAATATGAGGATATAAAAAGAAATCAGCGACTGGAAAATGTTGCTTCATTATTCTTCATTCAAATGAAAACAGAAAATCCATCAAATATACTCCTTAACAACAACAAATCTAAGCTCTGACAGGATAGCATTTACGTAGGGATATCACTGCCATTCACTCTCACTGAGCCCATGACTCCCGTTCGTGACGTCACGGATAGAGGCCCGACTCTACGTGCACTTCCGGGTTTCAGACTTAGATATTTTGGTAGAGTTTACTCGAATAAATTCATTATTCTAAACTTGTTTTGTCGGGTGGACACCATTTGGTGTTATTATGGGGGTTAAAAGCTTTCTATTTATGTAATTATCTCAGTATTTGGGATTGTCTTAGAGTATCAACTTTAATAAGAATATTCATGGCCACCAGACCAGGATTTTAAATAATTTTCATATTCCAGGAGTAAGGACACTAGTTTCCCAAAATACAATTTTTTTCAGGGGTCCAAAAATTTGGAATGACATACCCATAGATATTCGACTGAGTCCATCACTAAATAGTTTTAAAAGAAAATTTAAACTGTACCTGTTAAGACAATACTCAATAGTGCAATAACCTATATTCTTAATGTTCATCAGACAGAAAAGTGTGTGTTGGTGTGTATGGGAGAGAGTGTATGTGTGAATGCAATTCCCCCCCCCCTTTTTTTTCCCTTCCTTTTTATAACAAATACAAAATATAAATAATGTACTTAGTTTTTTATACAATTACTGGAGACAGACTTTTACATAAGGCCCGGCCTTCCTGTCTAGTCTCCAAATACTTTCATTAATGTACATGTTTAAAAATGTTTTTTCCCTTATCCATCATGTCTTCTCCACTTGTGTTATCCTCATGTTATATATTGATACATGTATTTTATTCTAACTTTTATATGTTTGCTTTCCTTGTATATTTTTAATGAAAGTATTGAATAAAGTGAACTTGAACTTGAACTTGAACAGCATTTCTTTACCTGTATGACTCCTGGCAGAGAATATGGAACCTTGTTTTGAGCTTACTCCATTCATCATCTGAACGCTGTAGAAAATAAACGAATATAGAATACAAAGTGTAACGAAACTCATTATTTTTGCAATCCATGGCTTAGCAGGACTAACAAGTCTGTCGACACGTACAGAAGAAGAAGAAGAAGCTTAAGGAGATTATCAATTACTGACCAGACTTTAACCCTTTCAGGACAGGATTTGTCTTTAAGGGCTAAATTTATCACATAATGTTCCTCAAATTGGCAACAATTTATTTTTATTTAGTGCTACATTGTTTAATAAAATGCAATGTCTCTGAATGTCTCAATATTCATTGGCAAGAAAGTGGAAAAACTGCCAACTTTGATAGAAAAACAATGATTTTAAATCTCTCAATGTGTTGCTAATTTAAGGATTTTAAAGTTTTTTTTGCCTTTTTTAAAATTCCTGGAATTGGCGTGATTTGTCGCGCAGTCAGTGTGGGCAGTCATTTACGCTCTGGCATATTTTTTAGGCCTCTGAAGAAAAAATTAATGAGTCAAACCACAAAATCCAAGAATCAAAGGAAATGTTGACAATGTATGTAAAGCATGGCAAGAAAAAAACAAATTTTTCCCCCTCTCCGTTCTAAATTGTTTTGTATCCACAAGTAACTGAGATATCTCTTTCCTAAATGTATATGAGGGTTCACATACCTAATGGAAAATATTACTACTAATAAAATGATATATCTTGAGCACAGTCAAGAAAGAAGGTTACTAAGGAGAAAATGGATATTTCATATTTTTTTTGCACAGATCAAATTGATAGTGGTTTCGATATAATGATCACAATCACAGAACTAAATTGTAATCTTGAGATCCCAAATTGTGTTCCTCACTCTCAAATATTTGTAACTTGCTTGTACGATAGGGTTCTCAATATGTTTCTAGAGTTTGCTGCTTTCACACAAAGTAACTTGCAATAAAGGTTTGATATCATAAAACCACATTCTACTTACTGCAGTCTTGCTTTCTCGTTTCCCTGTGATCTTTGACCTCAGTCTAAAATCAGAAATTTTATTGAAAGTACAACGATTATCAAATATGAAGTATGGAAATACAACAATCTTTGTACTATTAAAGTAGGGGCAGATTGAAAAAAACTCATGCATTATGAATGACCGACATGGATACACTTATTATTTGTTTTAATTAAATTAATTTTATTTTCTTCCTGGTATTTAACCAGAGTTACAAAATAATTACAACATAATCATGATAACAAACAAATTATACATTGAATACATCATCAACATAGAATACTTAAATTGTAATACTAACATAAAATAATTGTGAAGAAGGATTGCCACATAAGCTAAGTTTGAAGGCGTGGTAATCCTTATTTCAACTTTCAATTAATCTGACACAATTTACCATGAACAATGTGGAAATCAACATTAAAAGCAGCTATTATTCTGAACTTTAATCAACTTAATCATTGCCTCAATACTTCATACAGGCCTCTATTTTACTACCTCCGATTAAAAAAAGGCCAATTTCCGACTATCTCACCTCAGTGGGTCCCCTTTGCTGTCCTTCTTCTCTGTGATAAGAACAGCCTGCTGAAGATGTGGTGATAGTTCGGTCAACGCTGAGCAAAGACGGCCCAGAAACACCACCCTGTGTATAAAATACAACGATGGGGAAAAAAATGACGTTTAATGCATAGATACGAAAACATGTGATAAACATCCACTCTTCCAACTCTTTTAACTCCTTTCCAAAGAATGATGGAAGGGATTTACTTGTATGTGTACCTGTTAATGATGACTGATGATTGGTCCTCCAGCTTTTCTTCTTGGGCTGTTTTCAGCTTTAGCTTACAATCAGACAGCTCTTCCTTTATATGGTCAGCCAATCTGAATAGTAAAGAAGAGGATATTCATATTCATATTCATATTTATTTCATTTCCAACAGAAAGGTAAACAAAGATATTACATTTGATTTCATACATAATTCATTTTTTCAAGAAACTATACAAATAAACTTTGCACATAATAAAATTATTACAAGAATTTCTTAATTTTTGAGGAAATGAGGGGGATCCACTAAAAAGCAGTGCTTGTAGGTTGTGGATCCCCCATACATAACACGTAAAACACAGAAAGAAAACGACTAGAAAGTAGAATGGGATTCTAATAATAATAATAATAGTTCGTTCTTATACGGCGCTTTTCAGGACCGCATGCCCTCTCAAAGCGCTTTACAGATATATATTATCATGGAATGGAACAGTGAGTTTTTAGCAAAATTTGGTATGTTTTTCATTTACTTTTATCAAACCAATGCAGATACCTTACTGCCACAATATGCCCACTTTGGGTAGGCTGTTTAAACATGAAGTAAAATATAAAGAGTGACTACTTTCTTTGGGGCCAATTAAATTTGCAGAGTTTTCACCGACTTGAGTGATTTTTCTCAGTTTCCCTGATTTTCCCTTGGATGAAAATAGGGGAAAGAAAATTCTAGGTTTTTCTTGATTTTCAGGTCATCAGGGAGCATTTTTAATCATTTTTATAAAAAAGCAGTTAGCATTCAAACACATGATTGCACGCTTTTCTCACCTACTGACACACTTGGTACACGCTATCTGCAAGAAGCTGTGAAGGTTGACGGTGTCTGCAAACTTATCAAACGGTTCTTGACTTGACTTGGAAGCGGACTTCTGTTTGTCACTAGGCTGTTTGTCCGTCTGTCTGTCTGTGTAGCTAGAGAGGTCCTCCAGAAGACTCTTGAGTCTCACATCAATGAAAGAACAGATGCTGCGAGAGGGGGAAAAAACGACAGAAAAACAGGTGATTTTTACATCTCCTTCACGGAACGTCTTTGCAGAAACTGTGGTAATAACAGGAAGATTGACCTTCATTTATCAATAAAAAGAGATAATTATTGGTCAAAATATATGTATAATGTAAACCAGGTGGATTTTGGCTTTAGAAATACTTGAAGTGCTAAAAAATACGATGCCAGAAGGATATACAAAATTCCTTCTAGAACAGAAGTTTCCCAGTACATGCAAAAATTTCAAACTTTGTATTAAAAGTCTTCTTTAGTTCAATGGTGCCTACAGGTAACTTGTATCATGAAAAATTGTAAGAGAATAATATTTGAAGGTTTCAAGCAATTTAAATTATTAATTAGAGTGTTGAAAGGAGGTATTTTTACCTCTTTCATCTCTTTTTAAATCCAATGAGAATTTAGCACTTAAGCATGTAGGAAAAAGTACATTACCCTTGCAAATATACATATACCTGCATCAAGGACATCCCTGCTGTCAGCCCCTCCCCTCCAGGCCATGGGGCTAGGCAGGTCAGAGGACATCTCCTCCTTACAACAAGGAACCTATCAAACGGTTCTTGACTTGACTTGGAAGCAAGAAAGGTGATATGAAAGACCTACCTCTGTGTCTTTGGAGTGAATGCCCTAGCCTTCATATACAGACTGCCTGCATCCAGCACATCCCTACTGCCAGCCCCTCCTCTCCAGGCCATGGGGCTCGGCAGGTCCGAAGACATCTCCTTCCAGGTGTGGGCGGCAACATCCAGGTCGGCCGGAGAGCTTTCCATGTCGTGGGAGGCCTGGATGACCAGCTGGTGGCTGTTGGTCAGTGTCTGGTCTAGAGCATCTTGCAGAATGGCCTGAGAAAAAAAAAATTAAAGAGTTGTAACTTGTTATGATATTGTAGACTTTTGATAAAATGGTGTTACAACTGACTAAAGTGTTTCAGGTTCAACAAGTAATTTCTACTCCCGTACATGGACATTTTCTTTCTTCATTCTAACCTATACCAATACTCTTTTTTTTTCTCTCTCTCCAATAGTTTAAAAGTAATGCACCATAAATCAAAGGAAAAGGACTTCTAGACTTTAGTTAGGAGAAATGTAAGATACCGGTAATGACTTTCCAAAGGGACGATTAAACAGAAGGCTAATCCTACTGGTTGACAACACCTGTAACTGGGTCAACACTTGAATGGTTTCGTATTCCCCATGAGAGCAAACTACTATACATTTTTAACCAACAGTTACAAACATCACCATGAAGACTATAACTGCTCAGAATTCCAAATGAATGAATTTCATAGAACCAATGAAGAGACCTCCATCCAAAAGAGTAGTCTCCCTCCACGAATCTCACAACCAGCCACATATTTTTGCCAAAAAGGATGTGTATAAATACTCCTTTTTCTCGAGTACTGGACGAGCGTGGAATGCTCTCGATCAGCAGTCTGTTTTAGCCCCATCTGTTGAGAACTTTAGGAGCACGCTTTAGCATGTACGGCCTGCCATACAAGTTAGCGACGTGCGGAATATCGCCCTGCTGACTTCAATTTCAGAAGATTTCAGAAGATTCATAAAAGGGACAGGTACAAATGCTATTATTTTACCTGCATTCTCGAGAGAAAGAGAGGTCTGACAAACTCTCCCCACAGACATAGACTCCTTCCCAGGACTCTCTTTGTGATGTTCCTCAGTGCTGGCACATCATCATCCTGCAGAAAAAAACCAGGATGAAGAAATTGATATAATGCCTTCAAGATGAAACACAGATATTCTTGGTAATGACTCTATGAGCTCAATAGGATCTATACAACTTATTTTGTCACGGTACTGAACTTTTTGGGAATCAATTTTGCTTTAGAATGCAACTACATAACAGCAGTGGGTGCAAAATATCCATTCAATATTGTTTAAATATTGCCTTCAGAGGTTTATAAGGCACAATACTACAACCTTAATTTGCAAAAAAGCAGAAATATATCCCCAAATGTTCAATGTTGAAGTGCATTTGCGATATCTATCCAGGCCGGATCGATATGATAATTTACCAAATATATCAGTTAGTAGACGGTTTCCCTGCAAAATTTGTATCATCACGTATTAGTCAAAACATATTCTTTCACATGATTGGTAAAAAGAGCTTCCATTTCATTTTTTGAGAGGGGGTCCTTTCCAAAACTGGTCTTTACCTTTAAGTGTAGATTTTACTGCATCTATTATGATCAACCTACCTCTTGCAAGAGATCCCAGACAGCATCCCTGATGCTGGTCAGCCCACGGATAGAGGTCACGTAGTTCAAGAGTTTGCTGATCCCATCATGAACATCGCTTATGCACGTCTCCACCCACTGAGAGACGCACTCCTGAAGGTAGGGAGCAGCGATGGGGTCGGTGGAGGAGCGCAGTGTTGGGTGAAAATCTGATGGAAACAAGATTTAACTAGTTGAGGTAGGGAGAGGGGAGGGGAAGGGAGTATTTAGTTTAGAAACGTCAGACCTCTAAGAGAGTTTAGAGACACAGAGAAGTGGTCTTTTCGGGTGTTTACCCAATTAAGGCATTATCCATCACCAGGGTAAAGCTTCAGTTTTATGACCAAACAGGTTTTATGTAATGCTCTGTCTTTTTCCCATATGGTAAGTCTTTATCTGACGTTTGCATCAACCGAAGGCTCTTCCAAAGAGGAGAGGGGTATTTCTTAATTGGCCTGTGGGTTTGCTGTGTGCAGACTTGTACACCCACTCATGATATGTCCATCGAGTTTGGTGTCAGCGAACAATGGCCTTCTGCACATGGAAACTGACGACCCGACCCCTTTAATTGACTAATATCATCTACAATGCCAAAAGCACAAGAGAACATAATACATTATTTTCTCTGTTGTAGGTGAGCATTGTAGTCTAACTGATGCAATATTTACATAGTATTTGATACTCTACATTATAAAATGTTATATATAAGAATTATACAATCTAAATGCCCTGTCAAAATCACTTTTTACAAACTTCATAACTTTGATCTCCACTAAAATGTACCTGTAACAAATACAAATGTTACAGCCAAAAGTGAGCATCATTATCATTATTATCCTTTACCATACCTGTGATGTTTGCAGGCAGGTGCTTACTGAATGTCCCCACAGCCAGCTCATCTGCAAGAACAGTCTTACCATCTGAATAAAAAATATTTAAAAAAAAACATGAAGGACAGGATGAAGAAAGACCAAATGAAGATATTGACAAGTAGAATGGAAAAGGAAAAGAAAAGTAAGGCACTAATGTCCTTTGGCAAGACATTAATCTACATTTGCCTCTCTGGCTCTCTCCACCCAGGTGTTAAATGGGTACCGGTAGGAAGGACTTTCAAATAGCAAATGTGCCCATCCATGCGTAAAAGTTCAAACTTGATGATGGTAGAGTAGGAATTTTTCTTTAATTTGGTACATATTTCATCATTTTTTATTGATGGTTCTCTTAAAACAAAATTAACAATAAAGAGTGTCCATATTATTTGTTTTTGCTGAGTGTAGATTCAGCTCAAATTTATTTATTTCTATACAGGTTCAACAATACCTTAATCACCATTCTTTAAAATAATTATGTAATAATCATCACATTCACAATGGAAAAGCTGTAATTTAATTTCAAGAGGGTTTTAGAGTATTGTGTGTGTGTGTGTAATTGGGTTTTTACAGATGTGTATCAATCAGATGTGATTATTTACGTCTAGGAACCGACCTTTAACGTCACCACCCGAAAGACTCTTATATTTACCTGATGATGATGTAGCTTCTGTCAAGACTTTCTGAAGCAAGTTTCCTTCCTCATCTGGATAGATAGTAAGAAATGAAAAAAATACATGTTTATTTACATACCCATACAAATCATTTGGACTTCCATGACCCACAAATCAAACAAGAAGCAAAAACACACTAGAAATGCTTTCAAATCAGACCCCCAAAAAAGCATGAGAAAACTAATGTAGGACCAGGAAAAAACAATATCTTGTAGAACAAACTTTCCCACATGAATGTTCTAAAATTTGTCAATCATGGGTTGAATTAAGTTCCCTAACCCTTTCGCAACAATGATTCCACATTTTGTAATTTAGTTCAATAACTGTTGATTCAGAGCCCTAACAAGTATACCAGATGCAGAAATTTCTGCACAGAATGCAATCACTTTTGTTGCAAGACCATATTTCATTTGACGCTAAAAATTTTGAAAAGGAAGATAAGCTTTAAAATCCTTAAATTAGCAACTCATTGAGAGGTTAAAAATTGTTAGTTTTCTTTATCCAAATTAATCATTAAAAAAAAAAATGCTGACGTATACACTAGACAACACGTCTAGCTTACCATTATTCTCATCTCCTTCTTGATGATAGAAGATGGCATGTATCTGTCTGAGTGTGAGGTTGATCAGATTGGTCACACCACACACCTGCTTCTTCACGCTGGCATCTGCAGTTAGGGTACATGAAAAGAGAGGGTTTGATGTTGGCTAAAAGAATTTCTACAATCATCACAAACAAGTTTACTACCAGAATACCATAACAATGATAATATTTGGTACATGAATAGATATGGTTTGATGATTTGTTTTTACCTGACTGCTATAAAGGTAGCTTAAATAGGAAAATATAGCCATTATGCATTTTAACAATTCTACATAGAACATCTACAGTCATCACAAAGAAGTCTACTATCAGATTATAATAACAATGATAATAATTGACTTAAAGGTAAAGACCAGTATTGGAAACGCCCCAATTTCAAAAAATGAAATAGAAGCTCTTATTACCAATCATGTGAAAGAATATTGTTTGACTAATACATGATGATAACAATTTTGCCGGGAAACCACTACTAATTGATATATTTGGTAAATTAGTTTATCTATTGGTGTGTGAGAGATAAATGCACTTGTTGTGCACGTGTGCCTAGTCCCATATACATCTTTCTGTGAACAGTGCTTGTAACTTTGCGAAGACTGGGCCAAATTTCTTATCATTTTGATGATTCCAGAACCTTGCAGTACACACCAATACTTATATGCTAGATGATCAACCTTTCCTGATCGATTACACAATGTTTCTTTCACAGTGCAATCGCATGACCATAACTGAACTTTATCTTTAAGTAAAAGGAACATAAGAAACAAATGTATTGGGCATTGTTTTCACCTCACAATTTTTGTTCATGCATAGGAGATTATAATCTGTAGGATTGCTTGTCTGACTTTGTATTGTATATTTTCAGGATGCTGCACGATACAAATATACTTGAATGCAAGAACATAATACTTTTGTGTGCTGTCTACAAGACTAAACTGAGAACTTACCAAACTGTGAAGAACTGAATGCTTGATGGACGGCATTCTGTAAAAAAGAATGTTTGAATGATCAAAGAGATAAACTTAGGTGTATGATCATCATCGTGTAGCATCCCTTATTCCCTTTTTATGGCCCTTCTCAAAGACTTGCCTTCTGCATCTATTTGGGTGAGGCCAGATGCTCTTTTGTCTTCTCCTAGTGTCTCCTTCAAAGTTTTGCAAGGTCTGCCACATGAGTTTTGAACCTGCTCTGAAAGTTCATTGCTCTCTGACGCCAATCAGAAAAATATTGTTTCGCTTGGGCCGTTTCACAAAACTACAACTCGTTTCACAAAATCATAAAAAGCGACAAATTCATGATTTCATATCATTCTTCAAATTGGCAACAATATCATTTTTCTTTTATTGCTAATGTAATGTTTTGTTATAAAAGTTTCAAAAAGTTTGAAGACAAAAAGCTTACTTTCTTCTTAAGGATTTCTGGCATCAAAACATCATAGTCAGGAAACTAACATACAAGCAGTGTGTGCAGATATTGTTGTTCTGCCAACCAGACTTTGCCAGGCAAACATTAGACTTACCTTCCTTGCCAGTAGGAACTCTGTAAAGACTTGTCTAGGAGACGTATCCTCCAGGAGCATGATGGAACACAGGGCTTTGGTGATCACCTTCGTTCAAAAAGAACAAAAAAGAACAAAAAAGAGCAAGGGCATGAATTACAGGTATATATGAAACAAAATACTTTACCCTTCACTATCATTACAAATAACAGCTTGGATTAAGTTAAAAATACTACTTGTACAATCAATTTCATAAATTTTGTTGCAAAAGTCAACTTAAAATATTTCTTTTTTTCTTATACAATTTTTATAATCCATGAAAGATCTTAGATTTTAACCTATTACTTAGCAAGGTCGTCCAGTAACATACCTGCCAACCTTCCACAGCAAAAATTAGAAATCTTTCAAGGAAAAATTACGAACACAGTATATTTTGCACACTCTTTACATAGAAGTTTTCAGAAAAGGAGAGGAAATCTAGGGTTCAAAACAATAGCTTGAAGGCTAAATAATAGGAATGATTCCTCCAAAAAAGGAAAGTTTGTAGTAATGAGTATGCCTGTCTGAAATATAGAAATAGCATCATCTCCGATTTAAGTCAAACAAGGAAAAGCAGATAATTTATATTCTTTATGCATTCTTGTATATGCTTACACTTACCATGTCTGATGCAGTGGCATTCTTTAGGACATTCCTGCAGCTCTGAAAAAGAAAAAGAAACAAAATCAAATTTAAATCATAATTTAAGAAAGAAAAAAAAATAATGGTATTGATATCATATCTACTTCATAATATCTCTAACAATGGTTCCAACAGAAATTTGCAAAACAAATTGCATTCCATGACTTTTTATGACTTTCCATTTGGATGCACGATCTTTGGTTCGACAGGCAGACGCTTAATACTGACCGAGCCAACTCGCCTTCTCAAATTGGCAATGTGAATAAACCAGATGTTACCTGTAGTATACTTGGTTTGAAGTGGCATATGGCTGCCCACTGCCTGGAGAGTACAGGGAACCATTTCAGCAGCTGAGTAGACTGGTGCGTTGTAGTGTCTAGCTGCAGGCTGCTCACTATGTGGCATGCAAGCAAGTAGAGCTGAGTGGCGTGTAAATGCTCACCACTCTCTATGTCACTCCATATCTGTGAGTAGTCACAAGAAGAAAAAAAATTGATTATAATTTTAATAGCAACCTAACCCCTCAATTATATCCTGGGATTGAAGTGAGACACCAAATGCGAGCACCTGTAATGAACATGTGAAGGTCAACTGGACTGGCATGTTGCTCTTTCAATTAAGTCAAATCACTTTTATCCAAATATCTGTACATGATTAAATAGATGAACATACGTATCGTCGGTTCAAACTCAGAAGGGATTCAGTCTGTGTTTAAGTATATGATGTAACACTGCTGGCTCAAAACAGACATTATATGAATAATAATAATAATAATATAAGTCATGTCCTTATATTTGGCCATCTATCTAGTAAAACTCTTCTGAGGCACATTTTGAAATTAAGAAGTTTGAAGAGGAGGTACAAAAAAAAAAAAGACTACACGGTAGTACAAATGTGTTTATAATTACATTCATGCTTTATACATTATGCTTTCGAAAACAAGACTCTCTTCAGGTTAGACTCAAAAGAATAAAAAGTTTCTAAGGAACAAATATGTGAGCTGGTAATCAATTTCATAAACATGGTGCAACAGCTGAGAATATGGAAGAAAACAAAACCCAATGAGGGCCTAAAAGTTGACAGTGAAGAAATTTTAACTACAGATAAAATGTTATTATCTCCGAAGCTACAGTAATGACAACTGGCAAACATTTCACAACTTTAGGGGCCCTAAATGGCCCATATGGCTTTTAAAGCCTTCGACCTACATGTACATGGAAGTCTGACTCTGGCATATAAGATTTGAAGGTCAATTGTGAGAATCCAGGTTTACCTTTTCTGGAATATCTAGAAGTAGCTTGGTCTGGGAGGCAATGGCATAGAAACCAGAGGATTGAGACCTGAAAGTAAAAGAACATAACTTTATTATAAACTGCAACTGAAGCTTTATCAAACAAATAAATCATTACAATCTAAGAGGAAATGTATTATCATATACAATGAAGAATGTTAAGAAAATGAAAGATTTCCAAGAAATTGTTTTGGTGAACATGTTACTTACCTTGAAGAGGCTGCTTTCTTGGGAGATAAGCTAATCCCTTTGGTTAGGTGAGTCTTCTGAAGGTTGACACAGTGCTTCTGCATATCTTGAATGGACTGGAAAATCTGCAGGAAAAAAAAATAAAGAAGAGATATAAATGTATACCTACTTAAAAAACCTATTTGTTGAACTTTAATATGTTGTCTAGATCTACAGTGCATCCCCAAATCTGGCACAAATGGATATTGAAATGCCGTTCTCAAAACAATTTTGCTCGGTACTGCCTGTATGGATTAATGCAATCAAAGTATCATTTGCAATAACATTGCTTCTACTTTAATATGAAAATCAACAAAGTATTATTAAATAGCTCATAACTTGCCCACCATAATCATTTGTTTTGTGGTTTTTATTTTTCTTTCTGGGATGCAATGTATAAGAAGTGGATGTGACAAAGGCATCACAGGTTACGTTTTTTCAATACGTCTCTCACTATATTTTGTCATTACAGTAACAAGTTTTTCAAAGGGATTCAACCACATATGGTGCAAAAATGTGCATAAGTGCATTGATTGGTTTCAAAGGGTAATTGGACATAGGTTACAAATATACAGAATACTTGTGAAAAATCTAACAACCATGAAACACTTAGGAATGTCATCAAAACTTAACTTTGTTATCTTTTTATCCTCATACTAAAAGATCAGGAAATGTAATAATCAAATCCATCTTATCTTAAAATAAACTTACCAATAGCAATTAAAATGTATTTCAATATGTTTAAAGGTTATTCACCGAGTCAAAAACAGATATCAGCATTACATTGTCTTGGAAATTGTGGTGTGTTTTATGATCATACCCCATCCTCCCTTTTTAAAATTCTGGGTATATGACGGCCACTAGGGTAAGATAGAGGCTGAAACTGTATGGGTGTTTACAACAACACTTCTTTTCAAAGTAAGGTCAGTTATATGTTACCTTTTCTGAGCAGGTCTTCATTTCTGTGATGGTGTCTGCAGCTTCAATAAGGTCTCTATATCGCTCACTGAGAGAGAAAAGATAAAACATGACTTTAATAATTTTGTAATTAGGTAATTTGATTTGGTTCGGTTTGGTTCAACTCCTAAAACTTTGATTTTTTTAATGTGATTTTCCAAACGATGCATTTATAAGGCCCTACCGGTATGTAGAAAAGCCTGTCACACTGTCCGCATGTCATTAGTCTGTACCATGAAATCATCTAAGTTTTTATACACAATAGTATGAGCAATAATTCTGACAATATGACAAACTCATTATTCAGTTAAAATATATTTAGTATATAATAATTTGTTTCCCCAGGGAAGACTTCTTAGCCCCATCATTTTTTTGTCTAGGCCCTGCAATTATTGCCCCAGCAATTGCCAGGTAATAATAATAATACTATTCCGCTTTTATATAGCGCTTAATACATTGATGATGTCTCCAAGTGCTTTACCCATTTACACCTGGGTGGAGAGTGACAAATGTGGAATTATGTCTTACCAGGGATGTTAGTGCCAGGTTGGGATTTGAACTTTCATCCCTTGGATTGAGAGTTTCAGTGAATGAACCACCAGACCATGACACTTCCACAAATTTCATGACCCATCATGTGTCCTCAGATAATTTTCATTTTAAATTTTAAAAAAGAACTAAGAAAAATTGATTTTCCCTGATCAGTTAAGATTAGTAAAATAATGATAATGCTTTTGAACTTTATCGTAGAAATGCTGGAAAAAATGAAAACTTACCCAACCATCTGCCGCAGGTCTTCTTTCTTTGTCTCGATTTCATCTCTGAAAGAAAATGTTGAATAATCTTTTGATACAAACTGGAAGATGTAATTGATCTGAGGGACTGAAAGTACAGCATGATTTTAAATTCCTTCCAAATATTCTTTCATATATTCACAACTTGTTATCTTACTGGGTGTTAAATATTCATTGTGGCTGTGCGGTGGGCCACAAGCAGAATCGCCCATTTCTTCTCTGTTACCATGGTCACCAATACCCTTGTTATCATCATCTCAATCATTCATTTTATCCTCAACATTCTAAATTTCTCATCATCATCATCATCATCATCATCATCACCATCATCATTCTCAATTTCTCATCATTATCATCATCATCATAAATCATCATCACTAACAAATCATCATCAACTTTTATCATCAACATTCTCAAATTTTCATCATTATAATAATCATCTACATGTGTACATCATCACAATTATAATCAACATCATTATCACAAACATTATCTTGATCATCATTTCTATCTTCTTCATCACTCTCATCACTCAAAATTTTTCAAAATAAATTCAGAAAGTCCCTGAATTGATCTACTTTTTACCTTGTATCTTTCTCTAGCTTTCTAATCTCCTCTATCGTATACTTCTCAAACAGCTGGTTGGTGCTGAGATCGGCGATCGACATCTCGTTCCTACATCCATGAAAAATATAATGAAGGGAATTAAGTTAGAAGTCATGTTTGTTCATAGTTGTTTTGTTTTGTTTCTGCGATTCAACTTTTTGGCATTAAAAAAATATCATCATGAAAGTTAAATAAAACCACTAACTCACACCATGCAGTTATCATTATATAGACCAAGGTATATAAATCTAGATTTAACAAAGTTACATCTCCATGAGAAAAGAAAGCAGAAGCCATCTTGATTCTTGTAAAACTAAAAGTGGAATTGTCTAATTTGGAATTGTCTAGATCAATTTTTCTGTCTCTTTCGTTCGTTAGCCTCTGATTTGGGTAGGGTCCTCTGATTTGGGTAGGGTCGAGAGAGCTGACCCTACCCAAATCAGAGGCTAACGAACAAAAGAGACAGAAAAATTCGGTCTAGGAATTTAATTGTCCAGCTCCATTAACAAACACGCACATACATTTGGACGAGTGGGACTGAAGCCCCGATTCTTATATATTTGGGAATAGAAAAAAGACATAATACGCCATTGTATTCAGTATCAAACTTGCTCTAGATTGAAGTTCAACTTACCAGTAGTGTGACTTGTGTGTCAATGAAGTTTAAAAACGAAACATGGATTTTTCTGTCAGAAATTTGGTAGTTTTGTGACTGACGTACGTACGTGGACGTGACCGGTGGTACACGAAGTCTACCTGCAGCTGGCGCTCGACTCTTTTTAGAAGAGAAAAGCAATAACAAGATGGCAGCTTCCAGTTGCAAGGGCATGCTAGGTGAGGTTTACAAATTTTTGATGCAGTAGAAATTAGTTTTCATGATAAATCAATTGACTGATAAGAAATCATCCCTTAATAGGTTTATAAAGGCAATTATAGATGGGGCATCTGCTAGAGACTATTTTTCATGCTTTTAATTTTAGTTTTTGTCATGAACTTTGAGTTTGATTGAAAATGAAATTGAAAAGAAGAAGAAGGTGCATGATTCAGTGAAACTAGACAGACTTGGTTGGGCAGAGTTGAACTTGAAGTCTTGATATTATTACCCGGTACTCTAGTTTAGGTCTATGTCAATGATTGAGTGTATGTCATTGTGTCTATGAAATGAATAATGATGAGTCTTTGACCAGGTGACTGTCTAAGAAATGTATGTGTACCAACGGTGGGGTGAACGTGAAGTTAGCAACCATAAACTAAGATTACAGTCGCTAACTTAACACACGCACGCACCCGCACCCTACCGTCGGTACGGTATGCAGGCGTAGGACGACCAGAACAGGTATTTCGGACCAGACTCCCGACATCGTCATTATTATTATACTGTACGGAGCAAATGGTGGTTACCTTTTTCACATTAAAGGTAAAGACCAGTTATGGTCATGCGATTGCATTGTGAAAGAAACATTGTGGAATCGATCAGAAAAGGTTGATCATCTAGCATATACATGTAAGTATTGGTGTGTACTGCAAGGTTCTGGAATCATCAAAATGATAAGAAATATGGCCCAGTCTTCGTAAAATTACAAGCACTGTACACAGAAAGATGTATATGGGACTATACGCACACGTGCGCGACACATGTATTTATCTCTCACAGACCATGTAGATAAACTAATTTACCAAATATATCAATTAGTAGGCGGTTTCCCGGCAAAATTTTTATCATCATGTATTAGTCAAAACATATTCTTTCACATGATAGGTAATAAGAGCTTCCATTTCATTTTTTGAAATTGGGGCGTTTTCAATACGGGTCTTTACCTTTAATGCCATGATTTGCCTTCATGTCAATTCTACTTCATCTAATATAATTGTGTAATATTCCTCTCATCTCTGATTTCTCCTAGATATAGGCTTCACTATGTTGGCAGCTGCTGCTAGAAACACCAATAGGTCAACCTCAGTAAGTATTTGTTTATCTTCTCAGAAAATACTTCTTTGTAACTGCCATGCTTGACTAATAATCATTTCTAAGGAGTTTATCTTCTGAAAAAATATACACATTGAGATTTGTTAAGTGTAGTTGTACAAGCTGCTTATCAATATCTTTACAACTCCCACTACATCTGACAATAATATTTTTACATTGGAGCTGTATTAGGTGCTTATTGAAATGTGGTACACTACAACCACATCTGACTGATAGTGATAACCTAACCCTACCAATGAAATTTAATCTTTCTTTCTTTAATAAGTTCCAGTGGAGGTGTACAAGGTGCTTATCAAGAGGTGTATAGCACCAAAACATTTGATACCCTTAAAAGGTTTATTCAAAACATTTCTTTAATATTTTCTAGTGGAGGTCCATTAGGTCCTTTAAAATGGTATTACCCCAAAACCACATTTGACACCTTACTTAAATGTGAGATTCTAACTAGGGTGCTTATCAAGAGGTGTAACTCCACCGCCACCACCACATCTGTTTGCCTACTAGTGGCATTCAAATTCTTCTTTCTTTAATAGTTTCCAGTGGAGGTGCATAAGGTGCTCATCAATGGATGTAACACCACCCCCAAGTACACCATCTGCCACCACTCCAATGAGATTCAAATGCTTCTTTCTTTGTTATTTTTTGAAGGAGGTGTATAATGTGCTTATAAAGTGTAATTCTCCCTTACCGAAAAGGCAGGCCTGCTTATAGCCTGCCTCAAGCCTGCATAGCTGCTAAAAAGCAGGTTAATTCCTTAGCAAGCACTGATCTGCAAATATTCCGAAATAGTGGAGATATATGAGGTGCTTATAAAGTGTAGTTCTAGTGTTGGTGTAAAGGTGCTTATCGTAAAGTGTAACTTTACCTAATTTCCTCCTTTCTTTGACTTTTTACAGTGGAGGTGTATAAGGTGCTTATCATCGGGTGTAGCGCCACCACCACCACCAGGTACATCATCTGACACCATACCAACACCTGACAACACCCAATCCTCTCAACCCCAGCCACAAAGAGAAGACTTTAGAACCAGTGAGAGTAATCCTGTAAGTGGAAGACCACATTGTGGTTTGCTCTCAATAGACCATTTTCGTAATGTAACCAAATTTAATGCATACGTCTTTGTAAAATGCCTAGAAACAAATATTTCATTCGCCTGTAATGAATAAGTGTATTTCAATAGTTCCAATGTGTTGTTAGGTAGAGTAAGCCATAACATCTGTCATAACTACATATAGCAACAACTAATGCAGTTCACATTCTGACTATTGAAATACAATTATTTGTAACAGGTGAATGAAATAATTTGTATTGAGGCATTTCGAAAATACGTATGCATTAGATTTGGTTACATTACGAAAATGGTCTATTCGGACGAACAGTCTTTAGTCAGATCCACATAGCAGTACAAGTTTGTGGCAACATTTGTTAAATGAGTGATTCTTTCTTTTCGTTAGTACTCTCTTTTTACTTTGGAGATAGCACGTGCACAAATGACCCGCAAATATCCCCAGATCCTTTTCACATGGATAAGTCAGATTTTGTGCATTTTAGAATAATCATTGCCAAAGTGATGTAGTTTCTCTGATGTGGCTTATTTTGTATAGATTGGGACCTTCAGTTATTACATTTATTTGTTTTTAAATATTTCAGTTATTTTTTTTAATAGTTTTAGTTGCAATAAGAACTTAATTCCTACCAAAATGTAAGAAATTATTACCAAATGTTAATAGTCAAATGCTTATGGTTTGTGAAATTTACAGGTAATGATTTCTGACGGAAATAAATAGATGCTATGTAAATTAATAGCAAAATGGTTCTATGGATTGTTTGGACTGTGACGAGGCCACTGTACATGTATGTCTTGCTTTCTTAGTCTTTAAATTTCTAAAATTTTCTCTTGAAGTAATATTTCAATGACAATAATTAAATGTACCATGTAAGCAACGTATTTGAAAAGAAATGAAAAATGGCTCAGTCATCGGCCTTTGATATCTGAATTGAATCTCTTTTTTTATTCCTATGAATCAATATCTCTGTTTTGTTATCAGGTGAACCATACAGCCAGACATCTAGGCCAGTATTACACCATTCCTATGGCGGATGTTCCCACAGTATTCCCCATTGGATACTCCGCCAGGTGGCATAAACTGGTAAGTAAAAGTTTCTTTAAAAAACACTCAGATTTGTAAACTTATTACTGAAGATATTTGTGTGAAAATTGTCACTGTAGGTTCTAACCCTAACTCTTTACTCTTTACCAATTCTCATTCTGAGATATTTTTGGCTCAAATTATTTGCTGGATTTTTCTGTTTTGAGCTTCCTTTTATGAGGGGGCTCAATTAATCAGAAATTTTGACTTACAGGTACCTATTTTATTTAAACATTTTTGGGTCATGTGCAGCTTCAAATTTAATTGTTTGAGTTTGTTTAAGATATTGCTTTGTTGATATACGATCTTCAATATTACTGCCTCGTCATTCTATGGTAGTTATTTAGCCCCCAACCGTGAACCGATGCGCAATGCTGACTATACCGACCCTCCTAGGAATTTTCTAGTTGTTAAAAAATATTATTTATTGTCATTTTCATGGTTTCACAGCTCAAGCCATTTCAAGAGGCTTCCATCATGATCCGCAAGCCAGCTGTGGAGATCATGGACGTGATGCGCCATGCTGACTACACCAACCCTCCTATCAAATATCTGATGTACGGTAGGAAGGGAAGCGGCAAGACAACCTGCCTCAATCATATACTACACTCCTGCCACAATCAGGGATGCCTAATAGTTCACATACCATGTGGTAAGTGCTAGACAAACTTTTCACTCCCTTGCATGATTCAGGCTTAAATTTGGACCCCAAAATTATTCACCAAGAAGTCTGTACTTTATGACACTTGCTATTTAACGCATCATGTTTACTTTACCTATTTAAGGAGCCCTTTTCCCTTTAAAAGACTACACAAAAATTTTCTTCCAGTTCTACACGTTCCCGCAAAACTGTCAGATATTGGAATATGAAAATATAAGAATAAATATAAATTTGTCAGAAAAGAAGAAGGAGAAAGGTTTATATACTGGGGCCATCTATTAATCTGGCATGATATTTCATGTCAGGTCGGTACCAGGAATTTAGGAAGTAACTTTTCTTAGTTGATATGCTTTTTTCCTTTCTATTCATGCATAGCACAAAGTTGCATTCCTGTAAATGTTGAGCAGAAATTTATAAACAGAAACAGAAGAATGTGGATTTTGATTCCCACTTACGAGAATGCAACCTAGAAAATTGTATTGTGATATTCAACTCAAAATATTCATATGATTGTCCATGTCATTTCTTGTGGTGACAGCAAACTCATGGAATGTAAACAACAAGTGGGATTTCTTGGATTCTGTGTCTCACGAGGGGATGTACGACCAGCCTGCCTTGTCTTCAGAATGGCTCAAACACTTCAGGTCTAGGAATGAACACTTTCTCAAAAAGGTTTGAACACCAACTTTTAGTTTACATATGCATTTACGTTTACATTTACGTTAACTTTTACGTTCACATAAATGTTAAAGTTCATGTTCACATTTACATTTACATTGTCGCTTACATTTACGTTTTCATTCATGGTTACCTTTACATTTACATTCAGAAAGTATGTAAAACGCCATTACTGTTTATGAATGAAATTAAAAATATATGTATCTTAATAAACTCATCTAGCTGTTGGCACGCTTCTCTTGTGCACATCATCAGTAGTTGCCAAATAAATTACCTCAAGTGATTTTGGTAGCATCAATTATGTAATGGAATGTTTCTTTCTGTGGTTTAGATCCTAACAAGCAAATGCTACGAGTGGAGTAAGAGAGAACAGACGGAGGCAGGAGAACCTCTCCTATCAGTTGTTGATCAGGTAAAAAGACAAAATCAAGAAGTTATGTATTGGGTAAACTCTTGTTATTGGTTGAAAATATTACAATATTTGGATTTATTTGGTATATTTTTACCTTTTATGCCTTGCAGATTGCACGTTGGTGTAACAGTTCATTCACTTGACTTGCATTTAAGAGGTTTAGGGTTTGAATCCCTGCCTAATTATGTCTTAGACAAGGCATTTTATTTACTTTTGTCTCCCAACATAAGGCTATTTAATGCATGTGTAGAAATGAACTCTGTTACCATAGTTTTTTGTTGTTGAAAACTTTAAAAAAAGATTTCTCTAAATGCATGAAAAATGATTGCATCCCCCAAAAAAGTTCTGAACCCCAAATCCTGTTTAAGGATACATGTATGTTGGATTTTGAATCTCAACATTATTTTATACAAATTTAATACTATGACAATAAAATCTCATTTGGAGTAGATTCTGTGGTTGTCATCCAGCCCCCTTTCTTTCCTGAAATGGTAAACCATAATTTGAGTAATCTTTCAAATTCATTGTCTTCAAATAAGCGCATTGAATAAAACCAACTACAATCTAATTTACGTTTGTTCCTAGGGTTTGAATCGTCCTAAGAATGCTACAGACGTGATCGGTGTCGTATTGAAAGAGCTCCGAGACCAGAGTTCATCCGGGAAGTATCGTCTGATCCTCGCCGTCAAGGCTGTTAATGGACTCTTTGCTGAGATGACAAATGTCAGAAAACCTGGAGGTTACTTAGTACGTACCTTAAAGCGGGACTGCACTACTTGTAGCTACTTGCGCCCTCTATGTAGCAAACAATGCCTAAGCGTTATCCGTTGGTCCCCCATGATCCCCTTTTCATATGTTAATTGAGAGCTGATTTGATGAGGTAACCACCTGGCAGTGACCACACTGGGAGGTCTAATCCCTCCTGGCCAAATTAGTGCAGATAGGCTTTAAGAGTCTGATTAACTTGGGATGTTTCCCATATTATTATCACCTTTTAGGGATGCTTTATTTTTATCTTTTGACCAAGAATGCTCTGAATTAAAAATTGTACATGAAAAGACTGCAAGAATCACTGGAAAATAAAAGTCAATTGCTGTTGCAGTACATTGTGTTGTTCATGGATAAGAGCAATTTAATTTAAAAAATAATCATTGAATTCCCTAAATTGGCAGCGCAGAGTTAAATTTGTAATCACTATTTTTAGGTTCAAATTGGCAATTGTTGTATTTTGAAAGTTTCATTGGTATTGTTTCATTTAAAATGAAATTTGAAAAAAAGAGTGGAAAATATAAATGATTGCTGCCGTCATTGTTGGTCAAACAGTTTTTGAGCGTCAAGTAACGCCTGGCTGGAATGCTCCCCAGGGAGTGGAGATTGTGTGCAGCAAGCACTGAATCCAATGAGTGGTGTAATAGCATATTTGTAAAGCGCTTAGAGACATTGTAGTAGAGCGCTATATAAAAACTAAATATTATTATTATTAATTCAATCCTGTAGAAAACTGTGTACTGTACTACAATTGGGTACCTGCTTTCACACATTGGGGCGAGCAGATCTTTTTTGATGTAAACAGACCAATTTTCATGTCATACTTTGCATTTTTGTTAGATTCCTGTGAATGAGCTCAGGATGGCGTATCACTTCAAGAAGATGCTCAAAGGACAATGGGTAAGCAACATTTTATGAACTATCAAACTTTTTGGGGGTAATTGGAATCAGGTTGTGAAATTAGTGTCTCATTCAAACAATTTTTTGATGATAAATAAAGTATTTGAACTTCACTGGGTTATCTTTATGTAATTCCTGCCTTAATCTGTAAGGAATGCATGAGAAAATTGAAATTTGACGGAAAAAAGTGTTCTGAAAGTGTTTTTTCTCCAAATATTCTAACAATTACTTGTTCTTCCTGGGCGATTACATTATAGAATATGATTTTGGTTTGAGATGAAGGCTTGTAATAATAATAGATCACATTTATAACGTGCTTATACATTGTTTCTAGGCGCTGGGGTACTGTTGTTTCAGCAGCCATTTAGTGAAGCAATGTCTTTACACGTAATAAAAGCCGGGACGATAGCACCACGATTACACAATATTATTCAGTACAAAATTACAGTATGTTAGGCTATGTTACCTAAGTTAATTCTTAAGTATTGGTCAAAATTAATCACTAATATGATTAATGTTTGCATTCAATCTAAATAACAATAATGGTATCTCATGTAACACTCATGTCTGTCACACTGTGGCGCTCCTGTGTGGAGAGTGGCAAACGTGGATCAATGCCTTGCCAGAGGAGGTTATTAGTGCCCGGCTGGAATTTGAACCACCAACCCTTGGATCAAGAGTCAAGTGAATCAACCACTATACCTTTTTATTTATCATTTAATCTGCATTTTTTGTATAGACCAATGGTGCCATCATCATGACAGTAGACCAGCACAACTGCCATCAAGCCCCAAAGTGGGACTTCAAACCTCTTCATCTACTACAGAAACAGGTAAGAAACCAGGGGGGGTGTTTCACAAAGATCCTAAAGTCGAACGTAACTCTAAGTTAGACTTAAACATTATGGAGAGCCAATTGTAGCCTTGAAATGAAATATATTCAAAAGCAAAAATTCAAGTATTTTAGACTTTTCATAAATTCACATTAAACACATGGTCCTCACAATGTCATGATCTTACTATACAATGAGAATAAGATGTAAATAGTTTTTCCCATAATTGTTATTTCGCTTCAAGGACTAATCATTACTATTAAAACCCTTTCACGAGAGGGTTTATTTTTTAGCGCTAAATTGATCACATAATGTTCTTCAAATTGGCAACAATAATATTTTTCTTTTATTCCTACATTATTAAAAATAAATTGGTACATCTCTGAAAACAGTATACATGGGCAAGAATGTTGAAGTAAAAGTTGAACAAAGTGCAGATTTTGATAGAAAAACAATGATTATGAATCTTACAACGTGTTGCCAATTTAAGGATTTTAGAGACTATTTTCATTTTAAAATTCCTAGCATCAAACACAATATACTGGCAGTCATGAAACAAAAAATGGATTGCAGTGTGTGCATATTGTTTAGGGTTCTGAATCAAAAGTTATTGAGCCAAACCAGAAAAATGTGGAAAAATGTGGAAAAATTGTTGCGAAAGAGTTAAAGGGAAAGTTGAGTTCTGTTTTCAGACCGCAAATGCCTTCAAAGTGCATGGTTATTGCTCTTATTCTTATCTATGACATTTCTAGTGCCCTTTTAGAACCTAAAATTGCTATGAAGGTAACTTTAGACCCCCAAATTAGTGAAATTTAGCCAATACGATCATACCAATTCAGATCCACTTTAAAAAAAATACGGTGACCGTTAATTAATTATTTAATTAAAAATAACAATACATGGGCCGGCTGGTTGTGCGTAATAAAAGCAAGATGAAAATGCGAACACAAAAGTCAACATCGGCATTGAGTGAAATACGACGTAAAAGGCGCTGTTCTGTTTTTTCAAAGGCTTTTTCAAATTATCTAATATTTGTGGTGGTACACAAGTATTAGAAATGGTTATATTTATGGATATTTCAGCCGTCTCTGAACCAATTTTGATCAAACAAAGATGATTTTGTCATTAAAATTGTATGTTCTTTCATATTTGACACTCAGTTTTTCATTATCTCACAAAAAAATTATTTTGTGTCGCGCCCTCTGCAACAGAACTCAACTATCCCTTTAATAATGACATCTTCTCTATAAATTGTTTTTGATATGACAGGGTTTCGAGTGGTTGGATCCCTTTGTACCTGTCTACGTAGAGAACTACAGTGACAAGGAGTTTGAGAGCTGTATGCAGTACTACATCAGCAAGCAATGGATCCAGATGGAACAAGGTACGTTTATCTTCAAAGACTATCGCATTTCATACTGTGGAACCTCGTTATAACGAGGTCCTTGCAACCTTAGAATCACCTTGGTATATCAGGAATCTTGTTACATCAGGAGTGTCGTGGTCGAGTGGTTTAAGGCGCTTGACTGGAGATGCGACCGTCATTGTTGGTCAAACAGTGTTTGAGCGTCAAGTAACGCATGGCTTGAATGCTCCCCAGGGAGCGGAGATTGTGCACACAGTGTACATTTAGAGACATCATAGTCTTAAGCGCCATATGAAGCGGAATAATTATTAAAAAACAAAAAAATATAAAGAGCTGGAACCCACAAAATCACCTTTTTATAACAGATACCTTATTATATCATGGCTCTTTATAGTGAGGTTCCACTGTATATACTACATATAGAATACATGAAATCAGTTATGATCTGAGTTTGTTTTCATTTTTTACTGCAAGTCGGAATGGGGGACCTTCACGGTTTTGGTGATTTAGTTTGCCTGCCCAATTTCTGGCAACTTGTAAATGCTCATGGGAATCACGATTTTGTTTGTAAAAAAAAAAGATTTTTCATCCTTTGTTTTGTATGATTTGTTCTTCTATTATATGTAATTCTTTTGTATACACTTTGTTTTGTCAAATAAATAATAATAATAATAATAATAATAATGATAATAATAATATTCTTTTCTGTCTCCTCCACAGCCAAGACAGAGGAAGGCAAACTTCATCTCAAGCTGCTATCTGAAAGCAACCCCGGCTCATTTGAAAGAATATGTGCTTCTTTATGAGACTGCAGAATCGATGTGAAAATTTAACATCCTGTCTACAACTATATATGCAAGACTGGACACTAACTGGAGGTTGAAGCCTGTGCACTTGGACCCCAGATGATGTTAAAGATATTCATGCGTGGGTATATAGTCGTTCGTGAAGTAGGCAACTTGACGATCGCTACATAACACTGAGTTAACACGTATCACGCTCCTGTGCGTACGTCTGTGTGCTGCCCACTATATACCCACGCATGAGCAACCCATTCCATAAGAACTCTGCAAAATATGGCGTCAGGGCCCGGTCTTACAAACAGTTGGGATTCATCACGACTTATTTGCGATTGGTATTAAAGATAAACTTGAGTTCTGGTAAAAAAAACAAAATTAATTCTCACAGAATCAAATGAAACTTACACTTAATGTTCAAGATTACAAATAAATGACATGTGCCAAACAATTTTGGAAGAAAATGTATCCTGGCTGAGTAATGAGCATTGAAAGACAAGGAAAGCAAGGTAGTGCTAGCCCCGACACCATGTGTGTTGTCCCATATATAGCTTTCTGTGTTACTTTACCAAGACTCGGTCAAATTTATTACGATTTTGATGACTCCAGAACCTTGCAGTGCACACCAATAGTTACATGCTACATGATCAACTGTTTCTGATCCTTTCCACACCTTTTCTTTCACAATGCAATCGCATTACCAGTTCTAAAGTTTATCTTTAATCGCAACTTTGTACATAAGAGAAAGGAGACTGTGAACTTGCGATTGATTTGGATCCACTGCAACTCTTCACAGGACAGGACCCTGGTCCCAAGTAAAGATGCTATATGTACACGTGTATGACATACATGTAGGTCGATCCCGATTCCCCCGTTGGAGGTCAAAACAGTATCTGGAAATGATATTTCATTGAAAAGAAAAATCACGTTGGGATGGCCTTCAGTTCTCACACTTCCATTCTCCACCGCCATCAAACAAGATATTCACAGAAAAAACATGAACAATAATGATTCCCCAGAAGCAAGTTTTTACAAGATTTTTTTAGGGGTTTAATTCTCCGTTTTGAATATTTACTATCATGATGTACTGTTTATATACCGTTTATTGGATACTCACATTTTTCTCTCCATGATTTGCGAATGAATGTACAATATCCCCTATATGTATCTTTAACAAATTTTAGTAATAAACTATGAAGGAATGACTTAATTTTATGAAGGGAAAAATAAATATCCACTTTGGATTACAATTTGAAAAGTTGATAGAAGGCATTTTCAACATTCTGTGCATTTTTTTCACTTTGTTTAGGTATTGGTATTTTTATTTCTCTTAAAGATGAAGAATGAATAAACTTGCATCACTGGTCTATTATATAACACGATAAACTTGAGTGCAGGTCTTTGTTATTTAATTTTCTAGAAGTGATCAGTATTATTGAGAATAAAATTTACCCTGGTTGTAAAATTGAAATTATGATCTACCATACTCGTTCTGGTGATTTAATCAGGTCTGTAAACAATGCCTAATCGGTGACTGTTGGCTGATTTGATGAGATAACCATCCGTCAGTGACCATGCAGGGAGGTCTAATCCCTCCTGGCCTAACTAATGCAGTGGGGCTTTAAGAGAATGGATGGTATGAACAGATAGAGCGTCCCGGAGCAAAGCTTAATTTAAAACTTAAGCAGAAAAAGAAGCTTTGGAAGAGAGAGGTAGAAAGGGAAAAAAGAGAAAGGGTGTGATGGAGAGGGGAGGAGTGAGAGGGAGAGAAAGAGAACAAAAATCAGATAGTGGGACAGAGAAAGATAGAGGGTGAGAGAGAGAGAGAGATAAGGAGAGGAGGGGATGAGTGGACAGAGGAAGATAGAGTAATGGAGAAAAAACGAAAGATAGTGAGAGAGAGAGAGATAGAGGAGGGGGTGAGAGGACAGAGAGAAAGATAGAGAGAGGAGAGAAAGAAAGAAAGAGGGAGGTAGTTTGGATAGTGCTTATTCTGCATGAGGCTTTACAATTTTTTTTACCAACACCACAATCTGATTTATGTCATAATTAAAATGAAAAGTCAAACAAAGATAGTTTTTCTTTGTAAAAGACAGGAATTTTATTAAATACACTCTACATCAGAATTAATTACATGAAGCGATAAAGTATGACTCACTTGTATAACTGTTTACAGAACAAAATGCATGCTACAGTACAGATAACGAATAATGAAAATAACAAGAATTAGCGTTTTTTAAATGGGACTCTACAGTGCTTTAAAGTGTATCCAATATTATAATTAATAACAGATAAACAGTTATATATTTGTTTTCAATATTTAAAAAACACCAACCCACACCAGATTCAGCATTTCTTTAAAAAGGCGACTGCAACAAGATCATAAACAAATGTACTTTTTACTACAGAATTTTACATAAAGTAGAATTAATATACAATATGTGTTATCTAGTTGGGAAAACTACTCGATTACGAGCTCTATGCCATTAAAGATTTGACTAAATTAGTCAATTTAAAAATTACCGTAGAAGGTACATATACCCATATGTTTTTGTTTTTTTTTTACTACATAAGCTGGTTAAAAATTATATCTCCTCTTTCTAAACGGGCTTGATTTTTCTTTTTATTCACATAGCTTAAATTTATTTTGAAAAAACAATCTTAAATCAGAATCAGAAATCCACTACAAACTGAAGACAAAAATCCCTCAAAATAATTCTGAAATGTTATAAATTGAAATGCTGCTATTTCTAATTCATGTATCAAACAAAAGCAATGGTGTTGCAGTGTTGAAGGGAAAAACAAACTTTACACAAATAATGGTATACAAATGAGAACTGACGGAACAAAGGATATTTCAGTCCACATATTCTAGCCTCAAACCAAATAATTGTTTCTTGGAGTATATCGAAAGGAACATTAATGCATCTTTCACATATGACGAGGCAAAACCTCTGCATTTTTTATAACGATGTTTGAAATGTAACGATGCTTCAAATATAATGATGTTTCAGATTTCTGTGTCTTATAACGAGAAGTTCAGTGAATATGCATACAACCTTTGTTGTGTGAAGTTGACGTTCATTTATGCATAAAAAAAGCAGCGGCGGTGGATTTTTTGCAGAGGTTTACCGCATCATATTTGAACGAGCCTTAACTAAGGCACATTAAACAATGAAAAGGTCCCAGTTTAAATTTCAAGCTGCAACACGCGGAGTAAAGGTGTATGCTCACAATGACACAGTTACACAGTTTGTTATAAAATGTATAAAAACAATGAAAACACAACGATCAGGTTGAACTACATTGAAAGTTTTGACGTACAGATATGTTCTTGATGCAGAATATCCTGACCGTGATCCAACAAAACACACAGTACATGAACAATGGAACATAAAATGTATTATATAAATCACAGATACCAGTTGACTTTAGTAAAATAACCAGAAAACAGCCCATACATGATGAAGCCTTATATTGATGTACAATGTGGAGCCTGAATTTTTTTTGGAATAATTTTTCTACCTAACTTTTACATGTCAAGTTCTGAAATGGAGAGGTTTCAAATCTTGAAATAAAGAAATGGCTTGAGCAATTGTATCTGCAATTAATACAGGCTGTTCTAAAATAGTGTTTCTTCCTCTTTATTCTACAAAAAAAATCAGCAAAATGAAATTATATACCAAAGCCTTAGCCCCATATATATGTACAAACTATAAAGCAAAAAGTGCTTTAATATATTATAAACTCCCTATCAGACAGTTACCTATAATCATATTGTAAAAATAACACAAATTACATATAAGCTTGTAAGTTACGGTACTTAAAACATTCCACATCGAAATGATATATTCTTATTCTATCTTCACATATATTTTTAGGGTAATATTCAAATTCATAAAATAAAATTTGAAAAGATACAATTTATTGCTTTCAGAAATCAATCAAGTATGTAGCATCGCCCACTGATGAATACATGACAATGAGGATTGCAAATTGGTTTCAAAGTTTCATCTACCCGGTATCTTAGTACAATACTAATTTCAATCTTTACATTAGCCCTCATTATATAAGTCACTTCAGAGATACTATCCGCACAAGGGCAGATAAAGGTCATTTGTACATAACTGTAAAACCTATCAGAATTGCTGGATACATTTTCATGAAAGTTATGTAATCATTGTTCATTTATGCATCGACGGTACATTCTATGATACATAGGTGGAAGTATTCTTTTAAAGAGGGCAAACAAAGTTATTCATGAAGCGCCTCCATCACAGTGATTATTCTAAAATGCACAAAGTGGGACTTCTCCATGTTTATAGGATCTGTGGATATTCTGGAGTAATTTTTAAGTGCTGTCTCCAAAGTGGCTTATAGCTGTGAAACATTCACTGAAATCTGGGTTACATGGATTTAAACTACATATTGACAATGGCCCAATTTCTTGAAAGAGGTCTAAGTGGCTTTCAAGAGTAATTGCCAATGTGTTCAGTTTTTGGCTTTGGATCAAATTTAACTAAAGCTAGGTGGGGTGCTGAAACAGCCAATAAATATTAATTCATACTGGCCTGAACTATCTACCAAACTATCCATTCATTGACATACTTACAATACACTGATCAGATATCCTTCTAAACCGTTCCCCTTGGTGACATATCCATCTTTGATGTGTATACTCTTTGGAATAGCATGACAAGCTTAACTTTGTTGGAAATCAAGAATCCAACTATAATCATGCACTGAAAGACCGCTCAACAAGGAAATGATATCAACAGATTTCAAGGAAACAATTTCAACAGATATACTTTCATTTGACAGAAATAATTTGCACATTTCCAATTCATACCTTTATGTCACTTGAAATCATGATTGGTTTCTTTATATCTCTATATCACTCACTAATATCATAATAATGGTGATGATGATACTAATACTAATACTAATAACAAAAACTGATAATAATATCAACAATAATAATTCTACAAATAATACCAATATCAATAATAATAATAATGATATAGTAATAATAATAAAAAGACTTAAAAAAACGGATTAAGTATAAAACCACATAAAGAAAATTAGCATCGGTTTTGTAGAACATGTTAACTGAAAGTATAACTGAATTTTTTTAATTGTCATTTGCGGATCATCAAATATGTACAGCGCGTTGGATGTTTCATGGCCTAATCTTTTGTATCAAATTGCACACACATTACATTGAGGCTTTTCCACATTTTATCATCAAGATATATACAAGCTCTTGAATGACGAGGGTAAAAAAAGAAATAAAGAGATAAACAATGTTTAAGAATCAACTACTTTTTAAAGTCCTTTCCCTTGTTATAAATCCATTGATAATATGTACATAATATATTCAGCATAGAGTAAGAAAGGATGGAATATTATGCAGAGATAAGGATAGTTATGAAGAAAGAAGGAGGAAGAGATGATGAAGGGAAAGAGATAGGAAAAGAGAGAGGAGGAAGAGAGAAAGAGAGATAGAATACTTAGAAGAGCAAAACAGCATTATTATTAAAGACGAGAAGTGGGTATAGAGAAGAGAAACGAACAGAAAATGGAAAAAAAAAGATGCAATAGGGGGGAATTAGAATGAAGGATATAATGAGAAGAGAATAGGTATAAAAACATGAGAATTTCAAGGAAGAATATAGTCTGAAAGAAAACAAAAGAAAGGAATATATTATTAGGAATACAAAACATGAGCTGTAGCCATTTACATACACAACCATCGAACATGAAAGGAGTTGATTAATCTCCAAATGAACTTCCTTTTAACAGAATTCTTTTGAGTAGAACTTAAACCTGCAATTATACATCCACTTTAATTCCTTGAAAGTATATAGCGATCTATCTTTGAATAATGGTCGAAATGTAGAATTCTCAACCCCATGATCCATCCTACATTTTAACCAGTGGGATCGGAACGCCACAGCAAAATTGAAGCAAAATTATCAACATTCAAATCATCATTCATGTTATTGCAAGTACATGTACAAGACATATATGTAATTGTAAGTATCAATATTTAATAGAATGAACAAACCAAAATATTGGTACTCGAATCACTCAAAAGTTTCCTTCTATCACTGTCCCCTAAAAAAAAAATCAGACAGTGTCCTCATAAAAGTGGATAGCTTTGACTTTGATTTTCATCCTTTATGACTAAACGACCTGCACCACCATAAATTACATTCATAACGATATATATATATATCACTGGTAAAGCCAGAAAGTAGACAAACCCATGAAAAACAATTGCTGAAGAAAACCTTATGGCCTAGAAGGGATTAAGACTGATACAGGGATTTATAAAAAACATTCAGATATATCTTCATCATCTCTTATTACCTCTTTATTTTGTGTCATATACCAATCATGCATTTGGCATTACTAAAACTTTATTCAGGGCTTGACACCAACTATATATAAAATAATTATGTCGAAGATTATTGTAAAGAATTTTTTTTTAAATTCTCCATAAACCCATAGTTTAAATATGGACACTTTCTGAATTTTGAAGGTAAATTGTCCTGAAAGATATTAGTGTCAGGCCCTAGTTAAGTTGTTTGATGTAGAGAATGATTGAATGACATTACGGTACTCATCAATTAAAAAATGTATCCAATATACAAATTAATTCAATTCCAAAAGTTTAAAGTTCTTCAATATTGGGCTTCCTCTTCTATCCTGTCACGAATTTCCTGCTGCATTCTGTCCTCATCTTTTAAGTCCTGCTTGTCTGAATGGTAAATACATAGAGATTGCAGAGAAATAGATAATAGACAGAAATAGATGAAGATAATCAACATATATACATAGGAGTGAGAATGTGATAGTGAGGATGTGAATAAGAGGGGGAGGGGGAGGGGGAGGGGAGAGGGAGGGGAGGGGAGGAGAGGGAGGGAGGGAGGAGGGGAGGGATGGGAGAGGGAAGAAGGTGAGAGGGAAGAAGGGGAGAGGGAGGAAGGGGAGAGAGAGAGAGGGAGAGGAGAGGAGAGGGAGAGAGGGAGAGGAGAGGGAGAGAGGGAGAGGAGAGGAGAGGGAGAGGGGGAGGGAGAGGGGGAGAGAGAGAGAGAGAGAGAGTGGGAATGGGATAGAGAGAGGGGGAGAAGGAGATCCAGAGAGAGAGAGAGGTGGGGATGAGAAAATGAACATGGTATGAATCAACATGAATATGGTACAAGACAGCATAATGAAATCAATGCTACGTTTTGGCAGTAATCATCACTTTAAGTATATTGTTTCTCTTCTTAGACATTTACTTCATCTTATCTTTTTAAAAAAACATCTGAAAATTATCTAATTCAGTTTATAAAATCAAAGTTAGGTGAATTTGAACATGGTATGGGAGATGCACTACACAAAGACATTATTGTTATTTAGTTTTAGGTGCATACATTTGGGTATTCCATCCGTTTATATTAGTTTCAATCAATCTGCAGACATGATGCCTTTGCTTATACATTAAACATGATGTGGAATAGGAAAACAGATTATACATGTACATCAATGATGCCACATGCATATCTTAGGAAAGTAAAACTAAACAAATATTCCCGAAGTTTATCTCTCCTCATTTAAACAAATCGAACTTTGTTTTGTTAGAAAAAAATATCTGTAAATGTGCTTAATGAAAATGGAAATAGTTCTGTTAAAAAGTTAACTCACCATGGTTTTGCACTCTAACCCCCTCCTAAAAATTGGAGAAAAAAATAAGAATTGGCATTTGAGATATGACAACTCAGTGTATGAGAAATGTTTCAACAATTTCATCTACTGCGATAGGACCAGCAATTTAAGCCTCTTCCCTCTAAAGTGTTGGGAGTCCCCAAAATGTGATGGCAAATTTCACTTTCAAAACTGTATAATGATGTGAAGGGGGATGTCATTGTAATCACAATTCTGCAAGGATTTTCGGAACAAATTGGTTTGAAGACAAATATTGTTGAAAGAATACAAAATTGAGGTTTTGTGTTGTATGCGGAAAACCCAAATTCTGTATTTTTTCATCAATATTCAGCTTTAAACACATTTGTTTGGAAAATCCTGGCAGAATAATGTGTTATTAAAATGACATCCTCTTTCACATCATTAACAAATTTAAGTGAAATTTTGTCATCAAATTTGTGGGGCTTCCAATACTTTAGAGGGGCTTTAATATCCCTTATCTTGGAAGAATAACTGACTTGATATCTTATGAAGAAAGAGACAAACTATGTTGAACGATCAGTATTGCATTATGCTATTCTCCCCCCCCCCCCCCAAAAAAAAAAAAAAAAAAAAAAGAAGAAAAAAGAAGAAGATAATAATGTAGTTTTCAATTCCTGGATAAATATTTTGGGGTAACTATTATCATCACATGGTACTGCCTGGAATAACAGGCTCAGTTACGAGATTAAATGATTGCAAATGCTCTCAGAACACATGCCAGTCCCTAAAGCCAGGCAAATATGTAGGCAAATATATATCAAGAATAATGTTTGGATATCTCTGACTACTCTGAAGGATCTCAAACACAATATAACAAACTTTAAAACTTCTCTAATGATTTTTCTATAACACGTTTTATGATATGATGTAGATCCTAATCAAATTAACGGCTTCATGGGATAGATACACACATCCTCAACTCGAATGCGGAGAGATCGTATAATGAACTCATGTGCATGCATCATTCGTTTACTAACACCCTCACCAAAGTATATTATTTGTATATCAATTTGAACTTGGCTCCAACGCATCGGGACATTTCCTGAACAGGTTCTACTTGGCAAATGGTCAAAAAAAATTCCTTGCTAAAGATGTTGGACTCGTTCCATTTCACAAGGTGTGTGTGAAACAACATGTTTAGCATGTGTTGTTCGTGATGTGAATGCTTTGCACACTTCACATCTCAAGAACATGAAAGCTGGTATAACGTTTGACCAGTATGAACCCAGCCTCTTCAGCTCTTGAAGTCTTAAAGCCCCACTGCTCTACTTGTAGTTACTTGTGCCCTCTATATAGAAAACAATGCCTAAGCGGTACTCATTGGTTCCCCATGGTCCCCTTTTTCTTATGTTAATTGAGAGCTGATTCGATGACTGAGATAACCACCTGTCAGTGACTATGCAGGGAGGTCTAATCCCTCCTGGCCAAACTAGTGCAGATAAGCTTTAAGATGAGAGTGTTGAGCATATCACGTATTATTGAGGATCTTGTACAGCTCATTTTCCCCCTATCATTTGAGAATGTGAAATTGAGCAAGTTTAATATATATCAAGTTCATGTCTACTAGCTTTTTTCTTTTTTATTCCCCACTCGATGAGAGGAAAATGAGTTTAATATGATCACTCATTTCTTTCAAAATTGATAATTTTCATTTTTTTAAAAATTATTCTTTTTAGAGGAAAGAAAAAGCTTTCCATCTCTACCCATTCTGATAAACATTTGATAAGATATCCCAGGTCAACATAAAATAGTCATGAACTAGTTAGCTTACCTGATCTTGTGCATTTGGATCAACCTGGATTCCTGTACAAAAAGAGAGATGAAGGATAAAATTATCAATAATTTCACAACACTTCCTATTAATTAAAACTAATATTGGAAATACTGCGTACAACATGACAGCTGAATACAGGATATACAGAACATATACTATTATTTTCATCTAAATTTGTCTATAAAGGTGAAATCCAAATGTCCATAAGAAGCAATTGAACAATGTTAGGCAAATGCAGATGATAATTTGTTGTAGAAAAATTCCACAATAAAAAACAGCACGAAATAGCTGATATGCTTGCATTGGTCAACAAGGATTTGGGAATTAGCATTTCAGAACATGAATTAATACATGTGCGCATCGGAATGGATACAGTATGATGCATTATGGCTGCTTCACACTGTGAACAAGCAATGAAGCATGGGTTAGTAATATGAAGAGCTGTAATTGTACGATTGATTAAAAGAACGATGGCTTTATAAAAGAAAAGAAAAAACGAAATAATGCGACAGTTCTATTAGTGAGACAGTGGATGAATTAATGAGCAAATTAGTAACACTCTCCTTCAACCAAGTAATCTACACACACAATATTTGAAGAAAAAAAGTATCAACAGAAACACACAAAAATTAATCCCCATCTGGCTTTGTACAAATGATATGAAGTCTGATAGATCAGCAAAAATACAGAGAAAACAAAAATACAGTGTTTAGACAAAAGGATGAAATATAAAAACATGATCTGAAATATGCATCTATATATAAATCAAAGTGAATACAAATTCAATAAATAATTACTTTATTAGTAAAACCACGTATTTCACTTAAAAAAAAGGTTTGAAAACCAATTTTACACATTTAATTAGCACTGATAACAGTGAGTCCAGAGAAAAATTCAATGTCTTTAATTACTGAAACTAGAAAAAGCTGAAAGTTCATCAAAAATATGGGACATGTACATGTGTATAGCAAAGGAAACTACACAAACAGTGTTGAACATATATGTATATTACACACGCAAACGGTTATCAGGTTATTAGTGTAAGTATAAATCTGGGGCACAGGCCTGTAAAATTATTTGCTCTGCACACGTAAACTGTTAAAATATTGATTTAATGATCAGTCAAATATTGATAGAGTACATACATGCATTACGCATGGAGATAGCAACTGTGTGTAGTAGAGATTTACAGAAAGATAACAGGTAACAACTAGAAGATTTGTTGTATTCAATCGTAAAACAGGTACAATAATACTGAAGCAGTCCTTCAAAATAGATGTGAAATTAGTTTAATTTAACCGCAATTGCTCTCATTCAAATCCATTTTTTAACAAAGTGAGGTAGTTCTAAGCACATTAATGTACCACAACCTATTCAATTTTTGTTTTAGTCCTTCAATTTTAATTATTGACATGTTACAATAAAGATCACTTTTGTGACAGAATAAATACACTCCTATGCATAAAGTTTCAGTGAAAGATACTCTCAATGTAGCCAGCAATGTTCGCTTTAATTTGACACATTGATCAATAAAATCTGGCCACAGTGACCTAAACATAAGCCATTTCCCTGATTCCTGTCAAATTTGTCTCTGCCCCAATTTGGAATAAAATGAATGTTCAAAGCCTGGTTCGGTGGAATAATCCCCATCCAATTGAATGGACTCGTAGATGATGAAAGCAATTCATGAATACCATTTATCCCAAACTTGGGTTGAAACAATTACAACAACAAAAACAATGGCCAGTGTGAGGTCATCTGTGATCAGATTTTGATGAGCAACCCATCACATTAAGGAAGACATTCTCAACTATCATAGTATTACAATATATTTCACCAACTTTACTTGGTTTTTATGATATTGGGGATTAAATACAAGCATCCTTCTTCATTGGCTCACACTGTGTACACATGTTAAAGGTTAAAAGAGGTGAACAACGATTCCACAAATAAAAAAATGTTAGCACTTCAAAAAGTGAGAAGTTGAGAAATATCATGTTACACATGCAGTACATGTATGTTAAGGAGACAAAGGCTAAGAAAAGGAGCACTCAGATAAATTCAATGTTAGAATTCTTCCCACAATTACTACAAGTACAAAGAATAGTATTATTCTGACAGTAAAAGCAAAAGTTAGTACAACGCACTGGATTTACAGAATAGTAAACCTCTTCTTTCCACACAATTAAAGGTAAGAAAACTTTCATGCCCATTAAGTACTTGTTAAGATATGATGTGGTAAAGCGCTGCCAAAATGCCGCTGTTTTTTTTAAATGTGTAAATGAATGGCAATTGAGTGCACCAAAGGTCCTGTGTGTATACACTGACCTCTGTGTTATAAGATACAAAATTGTGAAGTGTATTACACATTAGGTCCAGACCTGCCAACCTCTGGAGTTCAAAAACGGCATTCTTTAATCCCAAAAGTTGTATTTTACTGACAAAAATTGTATTAAAAAAAAATAGATCGATGCCTCTTACAGTTCCTACATACAGGAAGAAATTTTTTGTAAGGATCATTGATTGAATATGCATGATTTCGTCATGACTGGTGTGTTCGAGGAACCAATGAACATCACCAAATTGCCGATGTGAGATGCTTGTAGGATACAGGAGAGATTAGGCATTTTGCCGATGACATTCTTTTGTTGTTGTTGTTGTTGGAAAATTGCATTTTATTGAGGAAAATCGTACTGTCGTATTTGATTCTAAAAATCGTACAAAATACAAGTAAATTGTACTGGTAGGCAGCTCTGTAGTTCATACAAAGACAGCCAGGGTTTTTACTGCATCATATCTGAACAACGCTTAAGAAAAGAAATTGATTATCTAATACATCCTCCAAACTATATACTACCGTATGTGCAGTGTATGGGATAAAATACAGATCACAAGAGGTATGAAATAGAGAGATTAATAAAATATTTGTGATAAATTAAAGTATAGGGTGTCTACATTTCTCAAGAGTGCAAAGGAAAGTAGTCTACTGTCCAGAACATCCCAAACTCGATTAAAGATGTCGATGGGAGACCACGAGAGATGACAGAAGGATATAGATCTCTGTATACAGTTACTTCACAAAGATGATAGTTATTGGTCCGAAGAGAGAGTTGGAATATAAGTTGCATCAGTACATACAGTAGGTGTGATGATGGAATCATAGGAAATTGTAGATTAGATTAGATCAGTCACTCAAGAGAGAATTCACCTTTGTTTTACACGTATCTTCCAAACCCTTCCTGTTGGATATCCTCAAGGTTTTCCCTGTTGTTCTCATCACGCAAGGTCTCAGGATTCTCTTCACCATCATCCTCACTATCATGAAAACTCCCTTCATTTTGGCCATAGTCATCGTCCCTTTCTTGGTCAGTTTGGCCATAGTCATTGTCCCTTTCTTGGTCAGCCTGTCTGTAGTCATCGTCCCTTTCTTGGTCAGCCTGGTCGTAGTCATTGTCCATTTCCTGCTCATCCTGTCTGTAGTCATCGTCCCTTTCCTGGTCAGCCTGGCCGTAGTCATTGTCCATTTCCTGGTCATTGTCGAAATCAACATGATGTTCCTGTTCTGCTTGGTTCTCCTCCTGATCATAGTCCATTCTTTCCTGCACCTCTCCGTTGTCGTCAAAGTCCGCAGCCAGTACAATCTCATTTCCCTGGTCATCCATGGGAACGGCTCCTCCACCTACATCCTCTTCCCCGTCGTCATCTTCGGGTTCCTCTGCTTCACCCCCGTAGTTCTCATCGTCGACAGAAGATTCCTCCTCTTCAGAATAGTCACTGTAAGATGGATGGGATGCCAGTTCTTGTTCATCATCGTCTGTAGAAGTTTTCGTCCACCAAATCAGGTGAAAACACCATCAATTTTTTACGATATCCACAAGTTTTCACCAGGAAGTCCCAGGAATTCGCAACACATTAAAGTGTAACGGTATATATTGTGTGTATCGTGTACAGTTGGGTTTTGTTCAGATTTAGAAGGCATTGCAGCATGTTCACACAGAAGCACAAAGAATGTTCAGAAAAGCATTTTATCCACCAGTTTATGCAATAGGGCATTGGGTGAGAGGGAAGCGGCAGGAAGCAAAATTATTGGGGGTAAAAAAAAAGGAAGCGAAATAATAGAGAGTAAAAGATAGGAAGCAAAATAATAGGGAGTAAAAAAAAAAAAGGAAGCAAATTAATTTGAGGTGAAAGCAAACAAACAAATCAAAGGAAATCAAATTTTTTAAATTAAAAACTACAATAATGAAAATAGAAAGTGCATCCAGTAAAATCAATTTTGTAATCTAAACTGAAATATGAGGTCATGTACATGTATATGGTTTTCAAATCTACTGCAGGTATATGCACCGCAAACTGCCAGTTGTATACAAAGCAAACATATTTATCTCAGACCTAATATAAGTTTTCATAACAAGTATGTTCTGTACATGTCCATGTATTAAAATAAAATAGAATATCATTAAACACAACATACAACATTAAAAATACTCTGTTCTGAAACAATACATATAACAGAACCAGAGGAAGACTTGAAGTTGAGGATAAACAAATGTTTATCAATGAAATAAAAAGATGAAATATTTTTGAAAAATCTACCAATGGTTAATTCATTAACACTTTGTAGTTAAAATGCTATTACACAAAAAGTGGTGCAAAGATCCGTCACACTACACATAAATTTACAAAAACAGAGGAGAAACACACAGACGTCGTGAAGCAGTACAACCATTTGAGCCTTTTAAAGCGATACTAAACGGATGAACTTCCTGCCCTAGCGTACTGTTAATTGCACAGCGCCACCTCATGGTCAATTTGCCAACAGTGCGTAACCCAATATCTAATTCCCACTTTGCAGACAGAGGACTCGATGCGAGAACGGATGGCGCAGCTGGGGAACCAGCAAGGTACGGAACCATTCTGCTACAGCTGACCTGAGATGGCGCTAGAGGTAATTTTCGGGGTAGTGCTTCTGGTATATTTTCAAACAAGCCAAATGGACCAACTTTTCCTCTTCAAAATGGCAACACACATCAGGCTTATGCTTTTACAGTGTGATAACGTTTCTTGCATTTCATAAAAGACTGAAAAACAAATCCTACTGAATCTTCTAGTCCAAATATTTTGTATAGTAAAAAGAAAAATGAAAAATATAAAAAAATATTTTGCCTGTCACTATGCAAAGCAATGTTACTATAATTAACATTCAATCTATATCAAACTACATATCAGTATTGCAAAGAAAAGAGACTCCAAAATGCAGCAATATTTGCTTGATCTAGTGATGCTTATTATGTACATTTGGAATGAAACTTTTTAAGTGGATAAATAAAACCATGTAAATGTAAACGACAGGATCTGTTATCACTGATGGAATCCTGAATCTGAACTATTCCAACGCAATTAAATGAAACAAAAACTTGATAATGGCTGGATGCTTGTTAGTATATTCAACAAATTCAACAACCTAAACTAATGACAGGACAAATCAAGAGGATGCATGAGAAGCATTATAAGGAGACCAATCGCAAACAAATCTTGTTACTCTCTTTGTAGGTTTCAAGCCCTCAAAAACTTATCTTTAAAATCTATCTGCAGCAGCAAGACGAGTTTATGAAAGTATGTGCAAAATTTGAAATGAAAAATGACTGTAATTTTGCTAATAATTTAATATTTTGAGAAAATTGTCAATTGTGATTTTTACCAAATTTTGGCCCTTTTACAAGTTTTGAGGTTTTCATTTTGCAAATCCCTGCAATACCCTTTGAATACAAGAGGAATTTGGCACATACAATGTAAGGAATGATGTACTCACATTAGTTTCAATTTAAAGGCAAAGATTTTATCATGTATATTCATGTTATGGAATCTTCCCCTCAAACTTTAATAATATCAATTTGTTAGTGCCCATGTAATAACACATCAGATTGATGTAGAACACTTTCAATAGTTGAGGTAATCATAACGAGTGGTTTGATAGTCTGTGTGAAACATCATTCAGTCTGACAAAGTTCAATTGAGTGGATAAAGGATTGCCTGCTCAATTCTGAGATTAGGAGAGCCTTTAAAAACCACAATGTTCTATATTATTTGGGGATATTTTCGTAATGCTTTAATATAGATTTTTTTTTGCGATTGGTCCCATCTATTGAGCTTGTTAGAAAACAAAATATAAGTTAGGGTATGCAGCTAGCTAGCTAGCTTGATGAGGACCGGCGGGAAGGATGATTGAAAGTACCTTGCTGTCCAGGGTCGATGTCGCCGACCTCCAACCTGTCATCGTCATCTTCGTCATCATCCTCCTCCTGGAGTACGATCTCTCCTTTCACATTCTCCCCTTCTTCTAACTTTCCAACTTCGGATAAGCTACTCTCTCCGGCTTCGTCTTCTTCTCCTACGCCACCTACTGTTGTTTTCAGGGTGGGGGTGTTGTTGGGGGGGGGGGGAGTGGGGGTAGGGGATGAGGAAGGATTGGATCAGACATAACTATTACAGGTACATGTGCATGTGCATCATCAAAGACAAAAAGTGTAATACATAAACAGTCAAACCTGTTTGTAGCAAAAAGTTGTCTTTGTAGACAGGTTCCTTTAGTACATGTTTCAATGAAAAGCCATTTTCAAGGGAAACAAAAAATGTGGTCTTTGTAGACAGGTGGTCACTATAAAGCAGGTTTGACTACTGTACATACAAGTAACAATACATAGCTAAACTGAGTACAGAGTATTGAAGTGCCAACATCATATTCGCTCATCGTCCAGGTTACTGGTTCTAAACATCAGAGCCTTCACATGAGGTTCAACGCGAAATTATTCAAGCAACATACTGGAGCAGGGCAAATTCAGTGTTTGGGACTGGTGTGATCACCACACCATAGTTTAGAACAAAATTGTGTTGGAACCAGCAACTTTGTGAACACTTGGCCAGTATGACGTCACACTTCGGTACTCTACAATACAAGTTCACTACATGTGTACATTAAAGATCCTGTGGGGTGTTTCACAAAGACTAAGATCGACTTTAAAATGGACTTAACTATGGCAGGCCATTCATGCCACTAGTTCCTCTAATCATTCCGGCATTGGTTTCTAAAGGGATGTACAAATCGTGGTCGCAAATCTACAGAATTTACCTTTTTTGATAGTTAATTATTGAAGGAAAAAATATAATCAAAATATCATAATTGGGAGACCAATGGTGAGAGCAACCAGGAGCATGAACGGCCTGCCATAGTTAAGTCCAACTTAAAGTCCATCTTAGTCTTTGTGAAACACCCCTCTGATACCGTTTTACATTTAGACTTGGTTTTCTCTTAGAATGACTACAAGAAATATTCCTGGAAGTAAATTTTCAATGACAATAATAGGACTTCTAGTTATATTCAGTGGTATACAGTATGTAAAACAGAAATTGAAATAAAAAGGTAAAGAAGAAAAAAACGGGAAAAAAAAACGAGGGGTGGTGGTAGGGGAGCGATATGAAAAGAATATAATTAAACCTTTTCACACCCTCTTCCCACCTGATGGCCTTGGGTTCAAACATTTTGTCCACACAATAAGTTCAGTGCCCCTAACGATGTACCGTATTTAATGGTGTATAAACCGCCCTCGTGTATTAACCTACCCCCTCTTTTTCGCCCTGCGAGGTGCAGCTGAACGTGTAAGATCATTAATGTAAATTAAAAAACAGTAGAGGACCTAGGATAGGACCTTGTGGTACGCTGTGAAATAGAAGACAAATTAGTGGAATTATAATATTATAAACTACATATTGAGATCTATCAGAAAGCTTACTTTCAAACCAAGATGACCGACAAATTTGAGTGTTGTTCTAGTTTCCGAGTGGTGAGTCAACACACCGATTACTGAGCTGGGAGACATTGCCAGGCATAGCGCCAGGTGGAGGGGCATTTTTAATTTTTTTTTTGGTGTACCGTGTACAAGACGCACCCCCGGCTTTGAATTTTTTTCGGCGGCAAAAAAGTGCAGTTAATACACCGTTAATTACGGTAAGTGCCCCTCAAAGGCTGATTCCATGCTATACTACTGTTCATATTGCAGCACAATAAATTGAAATTGTGACAGATTTCAAATAGCCTGGCACAAACAAATTATTAAATGAACTCTACTTCAAATAATTTACTACGTACAATTTCAAAATTCAATCAGCATAGGAGACATACAATTTCTTTAGGATCATAGAATAAAAATATGTCTTTCCTAAAGGAGAAAAAAAAAAGTCCTATAACATTATGTACATATACAGTACATGTCATGGTGTAGTCTCATTTTTTGTTGTTGGTATTATCAGCGTTTTATTCTTTTAGAGAATATTTTACGCCTTTCACTTTTTTTTCTTCTTTCTTTTAATATTTGTCAATTTGTACTCTTCATAAATCTCTATTGAAGTTTTCTATTAAAGAAGTGATCAACATTTTAGGGCAATTGGTTGACGTGCGGTATGTGCAAAAAAAAAGTAAAAAGTAAACAAATTGTATTTTATGAAGAAAATTTGTATTACCATAATTTGGAGGAAAAAAGAAAGAAAATTTCTTGGAAAAACATTATGGTTGGCAGCTCGGTATCACCCATGAATGCACACATTGTACTTCCTGAATTTGAATAACAACTATTCACAAATTTCTGTGAAGACAGACTTTGAGGATTACAAAGCATGCAGTCCTTGAACAAATATACAGCTTGTTTGATAATGGTTTTGATAAATAAAGTCTGTACATACTAAATGCAGGACGGCTATAGTGTGTATATACTGTTCCCCCTGCTTTTGAATAGTCTGCATACTACATGTAGTCTGCATATTCAGACCCTTTCAAAATCGTTCATCATTTTTTTTCTTTCTTCATGAGAATGATATACAACAGTGTGTGTGTGGGGGGGGGGGTGGGGGTGTGGAGGGGGGATGGGGGTGGGGGAAGGTGAGTCATAGTGTCATGTGAGGATGAAATGAGACTGGAGATAGATTCTGGCACCATGTCAACACATTCCTGATGATGGCACTGATTATTTATTTTATTCTACCATGGTCAGCTGTGTGCCAAACCAAGGATATTTGCTTTACACTTTGGGTGTGCCTAAAATGTATTGACTATTTCCAGTCCGAGTCTACAGAATAGAGGAATCGTGTTCTTTCATTGGATTTTACAACCTGGCCATATTTTGAGGTGACACTATTCGAACACAGCACATACATGAACATGTTTCTGTACTGATTGACACTATAAAAGTATCTGTTTATAGAGCATAAATACTGCCTCTATCGTTCTTTACGTGTAAATAAACTAAACAAACAAACAGGGTTATAAAAAAACGAAAATGACATGCCTCATTTTGGATGTCCGTATTCAATATATTCACTGAATTATCGTCAGATAGATAATTTTACCTTAAAATGGCACATATAGCATTAAACTTTAAAAATATTTTATCTTGACTTCCGGTAGCAAACCTGTATTTCAAGAAAACACAAAACCTCAAGATCCCAAAACCCCACAGTAAATATACCAATTCTTACTTGCTACATGATCAACCTTAACCAATTTTTTTCCAGACATTTTATTTCACAATGCAACTGCATGATCAGGGGGATGTTTCACAAATGGACTCAAAAATTATGGAGAGCCTTTTGTAGCCTTAAAATACACTATATTCAAAAGCGAAAATTCAAGTATTTTAGACTTTTAATGAATTCCACATCAAGAACACGAAATCTTCTTGAAAATAAATGATATGAATGATTTGAATCAACATTTTATATCTTTTAAAATAACTTTTACAAAATATTTCATAGATGCTAACAGCTCTCCATAATTGTTAAATCCAACTTAGAGATCAGTTCAACTTTAGGATATTTGTGAAACACCCCCTGAACTCAGTTTTTTTCTTGAAAGACAGCCATGAGACAATGGCTTTACATATTGCAATAGAAGGCCCGCGAGTCAATCAATATTTGCAGATGGTTTATCAAATTATGAAGCTCTAAATATCCCTCTGGAAAGCCTGAATAACAAACATGCCACATGAATGCCACATGAATGCCACTTGAAGGGAAAAGCAGATTTAGAGTAGGGGCTGAGTCTATAGGATATAAAACCAACACCCTACTCATTGTCTGGCATTTCTTAAGTATATATCAAACACCTGTCTCGATTTAGATGTGAGAATATTGGAGGGAAATCCAACCTTAATAGCAAACAATTCTAAAAGAAACAAGAGAAATTAGAGAAGCAGACCGGCAAAAGTTTGGGCGAAATCTGACAAAAAAACAAGAAAGTTATGAATTGTTGAAAGTTGTATATACACTATACACACAGAAACTTCAAATTGACTGAATCAGTATTGTCACTGGGATATATGTAGTGCTGGACAACTTTTCTTTTTGTTCCAATACACAAAATGAATAAAAAGTCAATTTTGCTCAATATGTACGAGTCAGGACTGTCTTTTCTTTCTATAATATACTCTCCACAATATATTTTGAGTAGTGCCCTAAAGGTGAAGGCACTTGGGGAAAAAAAACAGATGTCAGGGATATTTTTGTACACGACAAATGTGAGTTATCTGTCACTACGTCACAATCCACTGACAAATTATTAATTTGAGATTTGAATAGCTCTAGTGATCTCATATTTTCACCAATTCACAACATTCTTATTATTGGGTCTGATTAAAAATTCAAAGCTCAAACTTTCACCATTCTGTTTCTTTGAAATTTCTGCTTTCATTCACATAAACTTATTACGAGGGTTGGATCCCCTTTTAAATACAATGCAGACCTTGTCTCATTGAGTAAATAATCAGCTTGAATGGATGCAAAAGCACACAAAACACTTTTTGCCCACAGCAATCTTTTCAATAACAGTGAATTGAAAGCCCACAATCTTTAAAGGTAAAGACCAGTATTGGAAACGTCCCTATTTCAAAAAATGAAATGGAAGCTCTCATTACCAATCATGTGAAAGAATATGTTTTGACTAATACATGATGATACAAAATTTGCCGGGAAACTGCCTACTAATTCATATATTTGGTAAATTTGTTTCTCTCATGGTCTGTGAGAGATATAGGGTAGTCCCATATACATCTTTCTGTGTATAGTGCTTGTAACTTTACGAAGAATGGGCCAAATTTCTTATCATTTTGATGATTCCAGAACCTTGCAGATGCTAGATGCTAGATGATCAACCTTTTCTGATCGATTCCACAGCGTTTCTTTCACAATGCAATCGCATGACCATAACTGGTCTTTACCTTTAAAGTTTAGTAAGCCATGAAATAGAAATATCACCTGATTACTTTGAGCATTTGTTATTGATAACAAGTTTTATGAAACAGGGCTCAATTTTGCTTGTAAATGAATGGCGAGCCCGGATGAAGACAAAGTAACTGCTTGTAAACAAAGGCCTTTAAACATACCGGCCCGTATTCAACTAAAATTTAAACCCAACATTAGGCTTCAGTTCAACAAAGGAAGTTAGTCTGCGGTCTAAGTTTCATGTTGTTAAATACGATTTCAGACTTAGGGTCGGGTTTAACTTACTAAGTAGAATACGGACCAAAGATTTCAAAAATGTGTATGACACACTATAACTTGCATCATTTCATTTTTATTTTTTTTGGTGAGGTTTGCTGCACAGCGTGTGAACAAGACTCATGTTTGATGCAGAGGAATGAATGGATAAATGAGGTGCGTTCTTACCGGGCTGAGGAGCTTGTACTTGTCCTTGGTCAAACTGTTGTACCTCCTCCTTCTCCACGTCACTCAACTGACTATCGTCGTCTTCTTCATTGTGCTGCCCTCGAGGGTCCTCTGCGTTGACCTGCAAAATGGATTGAGACTTGGTTTTAAAGGGATTCGGTATCTTTGCCTCAGATTCTAAACAAAATCCTGGATTTAGCTCATGCTGCGATCATAATTAATTGTTGCGGGATGTTTATTCAAGAATCACATCATTTTTGCAAGCTACATTAAGGCACGTTTAGATGTAACACGTTAAACCGTGTGGGAACAAAGAACCAAAAAAAGTTTTTTGAGTACGGTAATGTGTAAATGAAATGCAACTGAGCGCAAAAAAAAAGGACCTGTGCATACTCACTGAGCTCTGTGATATAAGATACAGTAATGTGAAGCATATCACACTTTGCATCATCATTATGACAAAAACATGATCAAGGCTTATAAATACACAACATTAATGACCATATAAGGAATGTACATGAATATTCATAACCTGCATATTTATGAATATTCATCCCTGCATATTTATGAATTTGTAACTATGGAAGTCAGAGGCAATAGGAAGGACTGATCAAGGCTTAATATACAATAATTATCACCATATAAGGAATGAACATGAATATTCATAACCAGCATATTCATGAGTTTGTAACTATGGAAGTCAGAGGCAAGAGGGAAGGAGTGACTCACCTCTTGGTTTCCTTGGTGACCTTGGTCTACTTCGATATTGTTGGTTTCTCTGTCGACCTGGCCCTGGTCTGGTACCACCTGGCCCGGGACCTGTTCCTGCTTCTCTCCTGGCTGCTGCTGCTCTCGGTTGAGGAACATCTGCTGCTGCTGTTGGCCCTCGTCTTTCTTCGTCTCAGGGTTGGCCTCCATCTGAACTGGGCCTGGATCTGCTTGATCTGTGATTGAACAGGGGAAACATGAGATTAGGTATGTCTTCATCAGCTCGAGATTGCCAAACAGCCCACTATTTCTGAATTGGGAAATAATCCCTGAGTTACAAATCATGTCTTCATCAGCTCGGGACTCAACCTCGAAACTTGAAACTCAAGCTTGAGAAATTAGCTTGAGATATTTTGCTCATCGTTCGCGCATAGTGCAAGTCTTCGGGCTGGTGAAAACGCAGTGGACAAATATCGGGATATTTTGCAAACTAGTCCAAGATATCTTGGGATGATTGTCTCAACCAAATATCTCGCTAATTGCAACTGGCTGATGAATATGCAAATTGACTGGATAATTTGCGATCAGGATAGTTGAAATAGCGGGAAATTTGGCAATCTCGAGCTGATGAGGACAGGCCTAATGAGCAACATGGCTTTTTACAGTACAAATTGAATACTCAACATGGTCACCAAGAACATGATGTCATGTTACCATAGCATAAACTATAATATTGGAAATGTAATTAATGTAGGCCTACATGACCCTTGTATAAAGCACTTTTGTAACCGACAATGCTAAATAAAATAACACAAATTTTAAATTAAAGGAAACGATAATACTTGGTCCATGCAAGTTGGGCATTCCATAAGCAACACTTTCCATACATTACATAGGAGATTACTATAGAGTAACAAAGCTGTGACATCATAAAAATCTATTTTTAGAATTTCTCAATTTGAACTTCATTTTCCGAAAGAGCTTCAAAAATAATGTCCAAATGTTGAAAATTTTGTTAAATATTTTGTTAAATATTGGCTGAGATTGGCTGAGTATTGGCTGAGATATGATGATCTGAATGAATAGAGTTCAACAGGAAATCAGTGTTATTTTGCTCTGGTTCATAACATTAGGTACCAAGGTAAAATAACAGTGATTTCCCATTGAAATGTATTTATTCAGATGGTCATATCTCAACATTAGTTGTTGCTAGGTAGGACAAACATTATGGCTTGCCCTACCTAACCACAAGTTATGTATGCAATTCGCACTGTTGAAATACATATTAGTAACAGTTGAAAGAAATAATTTGTAACAAGGCACTTTATAATAAAGATTTAAGCATTAAATTTGATTAAATTACGAAAAATGGCCTATTTCACATTAGATAACCCATAAAAGATTAGATATTTGGTTTACCTGGCTGTTCCACTTGTTGTTCACCTTCTTGTCTGCAACAAGACACACAAAGAAAGGTACGAGAAGATTGGATGTATACAATGTAGACACAGGCATCAGTTTGTTTTAAAACATACTCTTCAAAAATATGAATGATGATAAAAGTGACAACAACAACAACAAACAAAATACCAACAACATTAATAATATAATAGCAATATTACCACTAACTATTTACAAAAACAATTGTTGTCTTCCATCAACTGCATCAATTAAAAAGTATTATTAAAAAAATGCATTAATTCTTCTTATCTCATTAAAAAAAATTATAAAAAAATAAAAAAATTGTGTTCAATATTTGCTCTTTGATGGTTTACTATGGAAATAAGTTTCACCCAAATTAATCTGGCATTCACCCCTTACCTTTGCTCTTCTTTTTCTTGTTCTTCAATCTGTTCTTGCTGGTATTGTTGCTCATAGAGCATATGTTTCTGTTGTGGTTGGTCTGGTTGATCTGGTTGTTGTGGTTGCTGGGGGATTTGTTGCTGCTGAATATATTGTTGTTTTTTCTGCATCCAAGCGAGTTGTTGAGCATTTAGACCATTCTGTGTGGTTGAAAACGTCACAATGAGCAACAATTTTCAGTCTGCACAACATTCCCTTCTGCGACAATTGCTCGGTGTCAATTCCCTATACACTAAACTTAAACCTAGACCCAACACTATACCTAAGACTAACCCTTACCCTAAACTTAGCTTAAAACCCAACTGTAACCTTAACCCTACCCTTTTGATGAACAAAAAACTGAACAATTGTCAGGTCATCCGATTGTTCATTACATAAGAATTCAGTAGCGGTATTCAGAATTAAGCCAGTATTTTACTTAGCTAATTACTTGGCTAAGTAGTATGTCCTAACTTGTATTAAGATCATATCTGAGCATTTTACTTTAGTATGCTGACTTCAAGGTAAGATACTAATACCGATGAGCATTGTTATGTCACATTGTCAATCCAAAATAATGTGCAATTAAAGCGTCAAGTGAAATGCGCATAAAAGTAATTGTGCGCAGCTTACAACAAAAAACTTATGAAAACCATGATAATGTCAGCGAATCTGGAACTTCCACAATAAAACCAAAAAAATAGACTTTCGTCTGCTATTTAGCTGTCTTAAACTTAACGTAAAAAAATAAGCCAAAACCTTCAACTGAATACCAAAGTTGGCTAAGTACTTTAGCTAAAAGCTATGTGTCTGTATATATTTGAATTGAATACTGGCCCAGGCTTTCCAGAAAATAAAATGTCACCTACATGTACACACTGTAAGTACAGGGTCTTCTCGCAAAATATAAAAGTGCAATAGAACTCAAATGCATAGCAATTATGATGAGTGCAACTAAAACTGAAACCATCAATTTCTTAAAAAGGAATTTCTTTTTGTTGTATTTTTGATGTTTTAGTTTCTTATCTTGGCTTATAAATAATGTACTATAAATAAGCAAATACAAAGTTACGTGGAATATAGATTATAAAGATTGACATAGGGATAAAACACTTTGTCGAATCCTGACCTGTTGTAGTAGTACTTGTTGTTGATTTTGTAACTGCTGTTGCTGTTGTTGTTGCTGTTGCTGCTGTTGTTGTTGTAGAAGTTGCTGTTGTTGATTGAAAGTCCCCTGTTCATTTGCTGGAACCACTTGTTGCTCTCCAGCCTACCAAGAATTTATTTTTTAAATGAGATTAATCAAACTGACGGTCATGAACGCAGGTAATCTTGAGTTCTGGTACTGATGGAAATGGTTGCACAGATTCAAATGAAACTTAGACTACAAAGGTATAGACCAGTTTTGGAAAGGCTCCCTCTCGAAAAATGAAATGGAAGCTCTTATTACCAATCACGTGAAAGCGTATGTTTTGACTAATATGTGATGATATGAATTTTGCCGGGAAACCGCCTACTAATTGATATATTTGGTAAATTATCATATCGATCCGGCCTGGATAGATATCGCGAATACACTTCAACATTGAACGATAGGGCATATATTTCTGCGTTTTTGCGAATTCAGTTTGAAGTATTGCCATCTAAACCTCTGAAGGCAATATTTAAACAATATTGAATGGATATTTTGCACCCGAAACCCTTCAAATACAATTTTACCACTACCGGTCTATATCTCCAATCCAATCTAATCTAAAGGTACTGGATTTGAAATAACAGCTTTTCCTTGTGGATACAGAGAGCTGCACACATTGCTCCACCTGTTCTATGGCCATCTAAACAATAACATACCACTTCAAAAGAAGTGACATCTACCATAAATGTACAAGTAGTACATGTACATGGGTAACCTCATCTTATGAAAATGTTTATGTCCCAAATATTTTGTTTCTTTTGTCATGTTGCTGACCACAATAACTTTAATTGATTTTAATTTCAAGTACATGTAACTGCAAGTGTTAGAGAGTACCTTGACTTCTTTGTTTTAAAATTCCATCGTCAGACCTAACGTTCTGACCATATTATACTTATCACATTGGTTACATATCATGCTGATTTTATTTTTTTTGTGCATCAATTAATAATCCCCATACACACACTTTCAGTGTTGGAAGAAGGGAAGACACTGTACATGTAGTTTGCACCTAGATGTCTTGAAGATAGATCCGCTACTGTAATAATAATAATCTTCAGTTCTTGTATAGCGCATAATACGTTATAAAATAACATCCTACCAGGTACCCATTTACCTCACCTGGGTTGAGTGTGGCAAATGTAGATTAATGTCTTGCCAAAGGACATTAGTGCCGCGGTGGGACTCGAACCGTGGACCTCGTGATCCACAGCCTGGTGACGTATCCACTCGTCCACGACACCTCTACCGAGAGATCAACAGTCTAATAAAGCATGCACTTACCCCTGCTTCGGACACGTTGCCCTGAGCACTCACCCTCTGTCCTTGAGGAGCCCCACAGGCTTTATTGGCCTGCTGGAGGACAAACATCTCGTTGCGGATGCTGCTCATGGCCTGACTGAGCTCCTGCTTCTGCGTTTCACACCGCTGGACCCGCATGGTGGCGTCCTGCTGGATGGCCTGGATGGCTTGCTCTTTGTCCTCTCCGTCTCTCCGTGATGCCTCCTGGATCTGCTCGTGCTCCGTTCTTAGCGCTCCATATTTAGCTGAAAAGATTATTTTAATTTTGTATTTATTGATGCTTTTCGTTTACAGATTTGGGGTATTACTGGAACTGTTCGTGCTCTGTTCTTAGCGCTCCATATTTAGCAGAAAAGATTTTATTTTACAGATCTGGGCCCCGTCTTACAAAGAGTTGATATCAATTGCTACTTTTTTTGCGATTGATATCAATCGCAGCTATGTACATAAGAGATAGGCGACTGCAAACTTGCGATTGATTTGGATCATTCTTTTCTCTCTCTGTCTTTCTTTCTTCCTTTCTAAAGAGCCGATTGATGTGTGTTTGAATTTATAAATGGTTACACTCACAAGCCTTTCAGAGTAGCAGATTTAAAATTTCTTTTGACAAACTTTAATTATCATTCCTAAATCATAATCTGTGACTTGTTCACTATAAACCACCCATACATCAATAGAATTTATTTATTGGAAGTATTTTCCCGACAGAAGAGATTTGAAGCTTTCCAATAATACCTGTCATATAGCCCACTTTACGTCAAGTATGATATCCAACTAAGAGGAATCAATCTGTGATAAGAAACCCCACTAATTGCTCAGTTGTTGGATTTCAGATGCTATCATGGTCATTTAAATCGTAAACTCACAATCATAATTTGTCTTTACTCTATCATGAAAACATATCCAGGAACTTTTTAGCCTAAATTTGACTTAATATTCCTTTATTTACTTGGTATTTGTTTTTTGTTTTCAAAATACATGTATGATAAATGGTATTTTCAATTAGGAGCTCAAGATGAATTTAAGTATTAAGATATTAAAACAAATATTTTTGATTGGTATCTTCGACAAAATATACACATGAAATACCAAATACATGTACAATCAATTGTGAATGTATTTAACTTACTTTTCATGTCCATGAGCAACTCAACTGTCTTAGATGCATTTATCCTGAATTGTGCCTGTTAAATAAAGGGAGATTTATATGAACAATTATATACATGTACAAACAAAATATATTTCTGCATTCTCAATTGTTAGACACTACAATCATACCTGTACAATACCTGTCTAGTATGTACAGTACATGCCCTTACAAATGTGTACATACAGTAACCAAATCAACTCGTATACAACAGTATTTAAAGAGAGATCTTAACTTTGTTAGATCTGTAACATAGCTATTACCGGTAGTACAAATTTGAAGATAAAAACATTTTACAGTAATTGTGCAATATTTGAGAGAAGGTTGAATTCTGTTTAAGGTGAAGAAAACAAATTTGTGAGCTTTCTCATCGTTCTCATGTCAGAGCAGAAGAATATCACTAAAGAAATGGCCCCTGAAAAAGAATTCTCTTCAGAGGACCCCATATTTAAAATATGAAGAGAAACTGAGAAACACCTGACAAGTTTGGACCAAACAATCATGCCATATGTGTATATATCCTGATTTCTGTGCGCAGTGCAGGTGCCTTTCGGCAAGAATTTCTTCTGTGTGTGTTCATGTTTTTACATTTTGGTCATTTCACAAGACTAATACCTCACCCTCACAGTATACTACAGGTATATCTAGCCTTATTTGCTTCATATCCAACCTCTCCCAACTGCTGCTAGACAATATCTTTCACAATATTTGACGAGAATGTAAATTAAAAAAGGAAACAAATCTTCTCATTGCACTGTGAACTTGTTTACTAATAACTTATCCCATGCATTCTCATGCTACTTGGGTAGAGTAAACATGCAACATGCAGGTACATGAGTACAAGTTTGAGCAGGTTTAAGCTCTTTGATTCAATGTGTACTTGTAGTTTTTGCTGGTACCCTACGCCAACTTGTACATCCCTTTGATTTTATTGTATGATAAATACATAGCACAATTGAATACGCTCCCTTCTAGACAAAAATCAGTGTTTGTTATAAATAAACTTCTATGGAAAAAAATGAAGATTTAAAGGTCACAAAGCTTGGCCGCGGTTAAAGGTTTAATCCTTATCAAATGTCTCTCTCAAGTCTCAACAAAACTCAACATAAAGCAGCTTAGTTTTCTTGTTGGTGATAATAGTCAAAAGTGACTGATTGCCATAAAAACACTAACCAACAACAACTTTGATTACTTTTAAAGGTAAAGACCAGTATTGGAAACGCCCCAATTTCAAAAAATGAAATGGAAGCTCTCATTACCAATCATGTGTTTTGACTAATACATGATGATAACAAATTTGCCGGGAAACCGCCTACTAATTCATATATTTGGTAAATTTGTTTCTCTCATGGTCTGTGAGAGATATAGGGTAGTCCCATATACATCTTTCTGGGTATAGTGCTTGGAACTTTACGAAGAATGGGCCAAATTTCTTATCATTTTGATGATTCCAGAACCTTGCAGATGCTAGATGCTAGATGATCAGCCTTTTCTGATCGATTCCACAACGTTTCTTTCACAGTGCAATCGCATGACCATATCTGGTCTTTACCTTTAATCCCTATCCCATAGATCTCCTCCAGCTGGCTTTTTACATGAACAGTGTAGTCTTTTAAAGAAATACACAGGGTCAGATACATGTATATGCCGGTTCATCTTATTTTTCCACTGAAGGTGCATGGTATGGCAAACAGTCTTAATTTGCAATTTTGCATCCAAACTGAACCATCACCTTTATCAATCAAACTGTACATTAGAGGGCATTGTGTTTTGCTAATTTCCATAGCTTACTTGGAGAAGCAGGAGAACCAAACACTGGTACATGTAAAAAACAAAAATGTCTCTTTCATTGAACTACTATCATTGAAGTGCCAGGATATGACCATATAGGACCCAATTAAAAACTACCATAGGCATGTACATGTACATGTAAGGGGGCGGGGTCTCTAAGGAAAATAAGATAACTAATTGTAAGTAAAAAAAAAATATATCAGGCTTCTAATAGAAAACGACATGCACTCGTGCATGTATTAATGTATTTCATGTTTTTGATATGTACATTTACTCTCATACCTGTAGATGCAGATCTGTAAACAGTATGCTTTTTAACCCTACTTTTACTTGCACATGTAGATGAATTAAACAAAGATACTATAATCGAATTTGAACATCCAGTGGCATCTACACACATGCATGATCAGGGATAATATTTACATGGGCTAAAAATATAGACATCATTGGCCAGGGGTCCAGGGGTTCCTGCTTTCTAATGGATTACAATGTTTATTTCTATTGGATATTAATGCTGGAATAACTTTACACACAGTAGATCTAAACTATTAAAATGAATCAACAAACAATCCTTGGAAAAAAAAGAAAGAAAAAAAAAAGGGAGAAAAAAAAGAAAGAAAAAGAAAGAAAGAAAGAAAAAAAGAGTGCATGTAATACATACATGTACAAGTTACAAGTACATTGTAGTACAGTGCAATCACTATGAACGTTCGAATGAACATGCACATTAATATTTTGTTAGTTTATCAAGCGATGTTCGGACTGAGACAATAGACACAATGAGTGATTTCAAGTTGGGTGTTTAAGGCTGGTGTTAGTGTTTAATAAACACTAACACCAGCCTAAACACCGAAATGGAAATGAGCTGGTGTTAAGGCTTTGACCTCTGAATATGGTCAACTTATGGTAGCTAGTGTTATCGATTTTGCAAAATTGTCATCTGCTGAACCGACCTTTGTGGCCGGTGTTAATATTTACGTACAAATGTCCTATTCACTAACACGAGCCCCTAGGGATTAAGCAAATGTTGATTTCCAGTTCGGTGTTAGTGTTGTACCCGCACACAGTCAACGCACGAATGACGCCAATTCGTTGTCTGACGATCAAATACAAATATGTGACACAGGCAATTCATATATTCTTGTGTGTAAAATTTGTTATTTTATAAGACCAGAGATATAGGTGTAAATTTATTCTGTACTTTTCATGATATCTTTAGGTTTGATGTACTATTTTTAAATCATTGTCGTGAAATCAATTATGTGGTGACGACACGGCTGGTGTTAAGTTATCGATTTTGATATCGGTATCGGGCTCTTAATTTCATCAGCAAATTTTCCGCTCGATTTAAGAGCTCTTGCCTGCTCTAAACACTAACACTACCACCAAACTTGAAATCACTCAATGTATACTGAAGCGCGATGCGAGACACATCAATACAATAAGGGCAGTGCAAATAAACACATAGGGCCGTTATTTGGGTCTATGGTGCAGACAGCGAATGACAGCTATGGCAGCAGACAGCTATGTTGCAATAAATGCTGTACTTGTGTATAAAATTACAGTCAAGCAAAAATGATTGGAAAATTAGATTCATAGCTAGAAAAAAAAGATCAGAATTTTTATATAAATAGGGAGAATATCATGCCTGAATAATAAATGAATAAACACACAATCACCCATTAAGGTTACTCATTAAACTTTTATCTAAGCAAATATTAAAGGCAATATATTGGATAATTAGAAACTTGCGGTCAACCTAAAATTCATTCAAAATATTATGTACATACATGTACACAATAAGAACAAACTTACCAATGATGATACTGCAAGGTCTTTGTCTTTCCGCAATGATTCTGATTGAGAATCAACCTCATCTTTTAAAATTTTGATTTCCTCCTTTTCTTTGGTGCATTGTTCTTTTTCTGTCTTTAGAAGAGTATTCACTTTATTGGCATCACCTATCTGACTTTGGAGTGCCTCGCTTCTCTTCTCTAGATGAACCTGCATATGAAAAAATAAAAATGAAAAAATAAAAATGAAAATAAAATAGAAACAGATATTTTTCAATTTGTTTTTCTTCAAAAACACACATAATACATAGGTCTAGGTGTACTGTCTACATAAGTACTATCTTTTATACAATTTTGAAATCTACTACGGTACCATAAACATTATACTTTTATAGTGTGTTATTCAATGTGCCTAGTCACCTTGATATATTGATTTTAATACTAAAACAATCAAAATCTAGAAATGTCATTGACTTGCAAATATCTATTTTAGACAAGACCTCAATACATGCTGGCCGGGCGTCTTTGCCATGGCACAATGTGCCAAAGATATGTCAAGAACTCTAGATTGCGAAGACTCAATGATGAATGAACACTTGAAATTTTTTCAATTTCAAATTGATTAATTATTGAATGCAACAGCCACCTAAAATTTACAGCATGTGAGCGCTAAAGCTGCACATGCGCTCACATGCTATGCTAACCGTTAGGGTTAGTGATAGGGTTATAGACCTATTAATAATACTGAAGATTTGTTCATTATTATTTATTATAACCGTATCACTAACTTAGTAACTGGGATGCTGTAAATTTTAGGTGGCTGTCGCAAAAGGAAATCGTTCCGACATTGTATTTGTAATTAGGCCTAATCATTATCAAATTAAAATCGCCTGATCAGTTTGTATTTACTATTAGGCCTATTTGATCATTCTAACACAGACACAATTTTCAACTTGAGTAGGCCTACAAGTACAATTAGCATTTACTTCAAGAACGAATCATTTCTTCGACTTTGAGTCAATATTACTCTCGCACTCAATCAACCACATCCCACATTCACACTCACAGAACACATGAACACAACATGCACACTCACCTTTTTCATAGCCAACTCTTCGAGGGTCGCTGTCATTTCTTGCACTTGTCGCTGCAAAAGCCGGCTTCGTGACGACACATTCCAGTAATTAAAAGCTAAAATACAGATGACCACTAACAGGCCTAGAGTTAGGAATTGTGGTGTGCGACCTGGTCGCCCTCTAGAAACTCCGTTTGCCACCATTTTGTTGATGTTTTCCTCTCCTTTTAGTTGAAGTTTCATCAGCAATGACGAGTGTAGCTAGTTAATCCACTTCACTCGGTT